CAGAAGCAAAGCTTGCTAGAGGAAGAGATGTAAGAATCAGAACACCTGAAAATAAAATGTGGAGGGAAAAAAAAGGCAGACATTGTTCAGATACCAAATGTATTTAAAATAAACTCTAAAATAATATTTTTAGATGATTAGGGAAGTTTGAATATGAACTGGGTAAGAGATGATATTAAGAAATGACCAGTTTTGTTCAGTATGATCATGGCATTATGGATTCAGAAGAAAATATCCCTGTTTCTAGATGCACATGGGAATATGGAGGGCAGAGATGACACAATGTTTCAGAGAAGAAATGAAGCAGGTGTGGTAAAAAATCTGCCCAGCCTTTGATCCTGCTACTGCTGCTGCTGCTAAGTCGCTTCAGTCGTGTCCAACTCTGTGTGACCCCATAGACAGCAGCCCACCAAGTTCCTCCATCCCTGGGATTCTCCAGGCAACAATACTGGAGTGGGTTGCCATATCCTTCTCCAATGCATGCATGCATGCTAAGTCGCTTCAGTTGTGTCCAACCCTGTGCAACCCTATGGACAGCAGCCCACCAGGCTCCTCCATCCACAGGATCCTCCAGGCAAGAATACTGGAGTGGGTTGCCATTTCCTTCTCCAAGTTGATCCTGAGTGATGAGGAATACAGATTCCTTAAGGTCAGTTCTCTAACTTGTCTCTCAAGTCCCCACATTCTGTCCTGCCTGTGTGTGTGTCTATCAATGAACTACTTAGGCTCCGACTGAAGGCTCTACCCTGGCCTCCCCACTCCCCAAATTCTGTCCACCTAGAACCCTGACTCTTCCCCTTTGCACACGTTCCTTTCCCAACAAAGATGACATTCCCCTCTACTAGCCAAATATTCATCGCCACCTTGTCCCCAGACACTTTCTACACCTCTCCAGCCTAGGAGGCCTCTCCTTGGACCCTTTCCACCACTGTTCTTTGTGTCACACATGGTCACCTTTATGGCCAGCTACTTCCATCACTTGATACAGTTTTCTGCAAGTGTGAGGCCTCCCCTCTGTGAGTTCCTCCGCATGGAAGGTGCCTCTCGGGTAATTTAATGGTTGCTTTGCTTTATACTCCCCTCACTGCCCTGCAGGGCCCTCCAGACTCCCTCATCTCAACTCTGATTCAGGTTTCTGTCTAAACATGACCTCTTCTTTTTAAATTTTTTTTTGGCGGCAAAGCGTGGCTTATAGGATCTTAGTTCCCCAACCAGGGATTGAACCCCAGCAGTGAAAGCACTGATTCCTAACCACTGGACTGTCAGGAAAGTCCCAAAACATGGCTTCTTCTAAGAGTCTTCCCTGACCACCCATCTAATACCACCTTCACTGCCCACAGTCACCTTGTTCAGCGTCTTCATAACCTTCACCTCTACTGGAAGTTATTTGTTTATATTCTGCCTAACCCCACCAAACAAGGGAAGTGAACTGTACAATTCAGCTCTGGGACCTGAGCCCACATGCTGAGAACTGAGACTGGGACTTAAACCCCCAGTCTTTTCATTGAGATCACATAGGTCTCAGGCTTCCCTGGTGGCTTGGGGTAAAGAATCTGCCTGCAGTGCAGGAGGCATGGGTTTGAGTCATGGGTTGGGAAGATCCCTTGGAGAAGGAAATAGCAACCCACTCTGGTATTCTTGCCTGGAAAATCCCATGGACAGAGGAGCCTGGTCGACTACAGTCCATGGGGTCCCAAAAGAGTTGGACACGACTAAACAACACCAACTGGTCTGAGGATTGAATGAAGCTCAGGTTCTTGATGTCTTGACACAAAAAGAATTCAGTGAGAGACAAAATGACAGGGAAGAAGTGGATTTATTGGATTTCCCTGGTGGCACAGTGGTTAAGAATCCACCTGCCAATGCAGGGATCACGGGCTCAATTCCGGGTCCAGGAAGATTCCACATGCCGTGGAGCGACGGCCCATGTGCCACAACTACTGAGTCCCTGCGCTGCAACTACTGAAGCCCTTGAGCCGAGAGCCTGCGCTTCGCCACAGGAGAAGCCACCACAATGTGAAGCCCACACACTGCAGCGAAGCGTGGCCCCCACTGGCCGCAGCCAGAGAAAAGCCTGCACCCAGTAATGGAGACCCAACACAACTAAAAATAAAAGAGAAGTGTGTTTATTTAGACAGAAACACCCTCCACAAACAGAGTGTGGGTCATCTCAGAAGGTGAGAGCTCCTGAAATATCACATGGTAGTTTTTATGAGCTGGGTAATTTAATAGGCTAATGAGGAGGAGGATTATTCCAACTATTTGGGGGAGATTTCCAGGAATTGGGCAACTGCCCACTTTTTGCTCTTTGATGTGCCTAGGCACTGGTGGGTATGCCATTAATTACAAAGGGCTTCCCTGGTGGCTCAAATGGTAAAGAATCTGCCTGCAAAGTGGGAGACCCAGATTCGATTCCTGGGTTGGGAAGATACCCTGGAGAAGGGAATGGCAGCCCATTCCAGTATTCTTGCCTGGAGAATCCCATGGACAGAAGAGCCTGGCGAGCTACAGTCCATGGGGTCGAAAACAGTCAAACATGACTGAGTGTATAATGTATTATAATGAGCATATAAGGAGGTTCAAGGTCCACCAGAAGTCCGATCTTCTGCCATCTTGGATCTAGTTGGTTCTAACCAGTTTTCATCATGTCCTATGGCTATGTCATTCTTTTAAAGGTTGTGTCCTGCCCCCTTCCCTCCTGTTTCAGAAGGATTTTATTTTTCTTGGTCACCCCTCTATCCTGAGTGACTAGAAAAAGGCCCAGGAGAGGGCAAAGGGTTCAATCAATATTCTACTGAGTGAATGAGTAGATGTAGTCTTCCCAACTAGACTGCAAGCTCCAGGTTACTTACTTCCTGGAGAGAGCCAGCACATGGCAATTATTAAATAATTTTCTTCTAATTGATTGGTGATGAGCTAACAGGTTGGTATTCCAGGAATCTTGTGCTCTAGGTAAGCCTGGAGTTACTATCCTCCACCTGGGTTGGGGCCTTAGTTCCAACAGAAGAACTCTAAGATATTGTTTTACTGCTTCACCTTTGTTTCTGCATTCCCGCCCTCTTGGATTAGCAACTGTTTGAATCTGCCCTTTGGAACTCAAGGAAAGGTGTACGAGGCTGATTAACACCTGTCTCTTACAAACAGCAAATGGGGGACAGAGAGAGGAACTGTCTGTCCCTGAGAGGGCCCCACAGGGTCCTGCTCCGTTTCAGCCTTTGTCTTCCCATCTGCAAATCTGCCTTCGATCTCTTTTCCTGAAGGCGATGCCATCCACCCAGATTCCCAGGCCAGAAACCCAGGAAGTTTTCATCCCCTCTTTTTTGCTGTCACCCTCCCAGCTAACTAGTCAACAGAGTATTGCTGATTTTACCTCCTGAGTTGCTCCTGAATCCATCTCTGTTTTTCTTTCCTCCCCTTTCACCATCATTGTCTTAGTCCAACTCTACCTGGACTTCTGCAGAGGCCTCCTCACGCAGGTTTTCCCTGCGTCTGCTCTGGTTCCCTGAGTGCCCTTTTCTCCCAGCTGTCAAACACTCGACCTGCTTAAAGCCCATATATGCCTGCCCATGCCCTGAGGATGGACTCCAAACACCTTAGCACCCCCAGAAACTGCATACTCTGCTCACCCCACCCCACTACAGTTCCTCAGCCCTAAACTTTATGCAGCAGTCACTTCTTTCAGGTTCCCTGAAGTACTTGCTGGCCCTTTGGTCCCCAGCCATTGCATCAACTCTGCCCCATACCTCTTCCCATCTCAGCCCCCTGCAGAGTTCAGTTTAGAACTTCTTCCTCTAGAATGCCTTTGCTGACTACACCTTCCCAGTGTGACCTCAACCAAACCTGTATTTCACCTCTCACAGTCCTTTTCATCCTAACTGCCTGGCTGCCCCTCCATCCACCTACCTACCACCCCCAGGTGATCTTGAGTTCCCTAAGGGCAAGATGATATCTGCCTTGCTCACTCAAGCTACCCTGTTGGTTCAGATGGTAAAGAATTTGCAATGCAGGAAATCTGGGTTTAATCCCTGGGTGGGGAAGATCCCCTGGAAAATGGAATGGCAACCCACTCTCCAGTATTCTTGACTGGAGAATACCATGGACAGAGGAGCCTGGTGGGCTACAGTCATGGGATTGCAGAGTCGTACACGACTGAAATGAAACTAACACTTTCATTTCACTTGCTCACTCAACAAAAGCACAGACTTTGATGCACAGCAGACCCTCAGCAAATAACTTTTTGGATAAAAGACATTAGACTACTGACTACAGGGTAAAAACCTCGGCCTCATCACATGCTAGCTTTGGACTTGAGCAAGTGTCTCTCTCTCTCTTCTTTTTTTCTTGAGCTACTCTCTTGACCTCTGCCTCCCCTTCACCTGTCAATGGGGACAGTAATAATACATTTCTGATACACAGCTGTCGTGAGGAGTCAAGCCCTTACGTGCACATAAACTTGGCCATTATTAACATTTTTTAATACAACCTTTCCTAGATCTCAAACCACACAACAGGTTAGGCCCAACCGCACAGTGGCATCTGTTCCGTCTGCAGATAAACAGTCACCCTAGGACCCTGCGGGACACCTGGGTGTCGGCCCCGCCTACTGCTCGGGTCTGGTTACGTGCGGACCCACCCGGGACGCGGAGGCCGCCGCCGCGGCCCACTTAAGGACGGGAGGGGACGGGCCCGAGAAGGCTCCGCCTCCGCGTGAGGTCAGCGCGCAGCGCGGCGCGTGACGCTCTGGTTGCCGCAGAGACGCCCCGCCCCCGCGCGGCGCTGCGGAACCGGAGCTCCGGGCGGCGTCGGCAGCGGCTCGGGAGGCTGCGAGGCCGGGGCGGCAGGAGCCGGCGCGGCGACCGCAGCGAGAGCGGCGGGGACAGAGCAGACCACGACGAAGGCGCACAGGCAGCCGGGCCGGGCCGGGCCACGGGGAGAGCGGCCATCAGGAAGCGGGCGGGAGGCTGGACTGGCAGCAGGCAGCCGCCGAGCCGCGAAGCGACATGGTGCTGCTCAAGGAGTAGTGAGTGTCCAGCCGGCCGTGCGGAAGCGAGGAGGGAGGGAGAGTCGAGGATGACGACCAGGGAGGCTGATGGCCTGGCGGAGGGGATGCAGCGGCCGGACGGGGCCCGACGGCATGGAGAGCGCTGGATGGGTTATTGGGCGGCCCAGCAGGGGCTGAGGGGACAGCCAGGGCCGGAGGTGGGCCGAACGGGGGTAGAGAGGGAGGGATACAGCACCTGAGGTGGGGCCCAAGGGGCAGCGAGGGCCGAGTAGGCCTGAGGGGAGGCTGAGGGGACAAAGAGGGCCAGGCAGGCCTGGGATGAGGTCAAGGGGACAGTGAGAGCGGGACGGAGCATGAGGAGGAATCAAGAGCGCTGGATGAGACGTGGGGTGGTCCTGGAGTGGAGGCTGAGGGAGGAAAGGGCCATCCAGAGCTGCAGGAGTGGCAAAGAGGACCCCCGGCAGAGGGAGGAGTTGTCCGAGTGGCCCAGGAACAGTTAGACAAGGGCAGACAGGGCCAGGGGTGGGGAGGGGTTTGGACCAAAATACTGCCAAGGGGCACTGGGAGATCAGGTAAGACAGCTTCTGGAATGGAGTTGAGATGATGGGTGGAGTGTGGAGGGCCACCTGGGGTGTGAGGAGTGTTGCCTTAGGCATCAGGGCAAGGACTGTGTTAAGCAAACACAGGAAATGGACTAGGGAGTCCGGGCCAGGCTGAGTGACAAGGGAAGGGTATGAGGAGATAGCAGGGGACTGGCCATGTGACATGTGTCTTCAGTGCTGGACGCAGAGGAGGGAAGTATTCAAGGAAAAAGGGTGATTGCTTGGGACTTAGGGGCACTAGGGTGAGGAGTCCAGAAAATAATGGTCAGGGGCTGAAGTGAGAGGATTATGATGATGGAGCGGGCCAGGGTGTTAGGGAGGAAGACAGTTTGGAAAAAGTATGATTATGAGTAAATATACATGTTGTTAGAGTTGGGGTGGGGGTGGCCAGGGCCAGCCTGTGTCTGGAGGGTTCTCAGTCTTGGTACAAAGAGATGGGGAAATTGCTCTGACACATTGATATTTGTCATCAAGCCATTGACTGAGGAAAAGTGGTGAAGAGTGAAGGAGTTTCTGAGTAGTGAGGGTGGGTTGGGGTGGTGGGAGTGACTTCTGGTAGGAGTTGCAGGGAGATGGGCTTGCTCGTGAAATCCAGGGGACTGGATGACAGGTGGGGATGTCTGGATTGCTACATCTTTCAAATGTGAAGCGATCCGTTCCAGAAGTTCGTGGTTCCAAGTAAACATCTTAGGACTTTTCTTTTTCCCTTCTTCTTCCAAGAGGAGAGATTGGGGACAGGGGGATGGCGGGGAGAGGGGAGATTGGATGTATACGTGCAGAACTTTCAGGGAAACCATACTTCCTGGAGGGGAGGACAAGTGGACAGCATTGAGCCAGAAGCCCAGGAAGTCAGGAAGTGGGAAGTGTCCGGAAGTGGGAGATGTTGGGGTAGAGAGCAACTGGTGGACCTCACTTGGTAGCCAGGCAGGTGTGCTGAGAGCTGTTTCCATTTTGTCAGTGAAAGGACTTTGCCCCCTTCTAGCTGGCCTGCTCCTTGGAGGTGTTTAGGATGTTTAGGACATAGTGTGGAGTTTTGGATAGGAAAGGGAAGAGACCCAGGTGTCATCGCAGCTTGACACCTCGTCTGAAGAGCGTTATTTCAAAGTCCCTCCACTCTGTTACTTGACATCCAATCTGATGCTGATTCAGCCAGAGCGCAGTTTTGTGTGGTGAGAAGGTAGAATCTTGCTTGGGAAGCCAGTAAGAGGAGGGTCGGGTGCACTTTGAATTTTAATCTTGACTGTCCAGATGACAGACTTTTCCCACTGTCCTGATTCTTTTGTCTATTCCCAGTCGAATCCTAGCATCTGTAGAAAGCTGTAGTTTTTGTGCAGACGGTCAGGCAGGGAAGGGAAGGGACCTTCAGAAGAGATCTGAGTGAGTTTTGAAGAGAGTCTCCCCTCTCAGTCTTTGTTCTCCTCCCCTTGAAGCCCGCCAGGGAAAGGTCCAAGGTGCCAGGGATACAGAGCCTGCCTGGCATCTGCATTTCCTTCCTGCTCAACTTGTGCCCTGAGTGTGTTCGGGCCTGTGTGTGTGTGTGTGCGCGCATCCCTGGGTAGGGGGGCCCAGAGGGGCCATCGGAGATGCTTGGCTGTGGCTGCAGCTCTGGAGAGACTGTGAGTGAAGGTCACACTGAAGTGAGCGAGGCTCCGGTCCCAGCCCCCACGGCCTCTGTGGCCCCATCCTTTGCAGTTGCACCCTATTGCTGCTGAAGTGGGTTTGCTGCCAGGGAGAAGCATCTGGGTGTGCCGCTGTCCTGTCACAGCGTCAGAGCATCCTGTCAGGAACTGACTGATGCAGGTCTCTTTCGGGTGGAGACTCAGTGCCCACCCAGCGACTGAAGGTTGTACAACACTTCCTCTCGCAAAATTCTCCATGATTTGATTTCTGCAAATTCTTGGACGTGATTTTTTATTACCATTGTTCTTGAAGATAAAAGGTGTATTGTTTTCTAGGAAGTTTCTTCTGAGGGTGCAGAAATTGTGGCCTCCACGTTGGAAGCATTTCTCTGAGCCGTCAGCTGTCTCTGATGGGAGGAGAGCATTAGGGGCAGCTTCCAAAAACCTGCAGGGTTTACGTTATTTGAGTCATCCTAGGGGAGGAGAGTTAGCCGGCAGTAAAGACTTGGAACCCATGTTGTTTTTCCTGCTACTTTCCTGCTCTGTGCCTTGCCTTGACTGAGATGTTTTTCTCAGACCCCTCTGGGTGCCTCTTGCTGTCTGGGGACCTTTGCGGGACTAGAGAATAGTGAGTGGGCTATTTACCAGCCTGGAGCAAGGGTCGCGATGGGCAGAACTGCGGCCCAGGAAGGAGCACAGACACACAAGATGCAGGAGGCTCCAGGGGCTCCCAGCTAGGGTCTGGGGATGGAGAATCTGAGCTGGGGAGCTGGCTTGATTGGTAGGAATACAGCCAGGTGTTTTTGTCTCAACTCTCAGACCCCAGGGCTCTGAGCTGGGGCTTGGCCATTGCTCTGCGTTACAAATGCAAGCCACCCTCAGGAGGGCTCTGCCCCTCGCCCCTGTCTGTGTGTGTGGAGTTCTGCCCAGTCTGGGGCTTTGCTGGTCATGGCTTCTCCATCAGGTGATTGACTGGCGGTACCCCCAGCAACATTAGTTGTCATGGAAATGGAGAAGAAGGAAAAGAAAGTGGGTGGGGGTGCCTTTGGACAGCTTCTAGAGGTCAGAACACGAGTTAGGAGTCCTCTCTTGGTGGCTTTGTGGTAGTGGCTTGTAGTATCTGGCCCTGAAATGGTTGGCGTGTGCTCTTAGGGTAATTAATGCTCCAAGGAGCTTGGCCTCTTCCTAACTTTTCATGTTGAGGGCTGCTGTTGGGAGGTGGGGTCCCCAGAGATTTCAGTCTCCAGGGCCTGCTTGTTTGGGCCTGAATCCCCGTCTTGACTTCAGAGTGTACAGGGGTGGGTCCTCCTGTGTTACCCTCCTGTGTTGTTGGGGAAGGTATTTGTTGGGGAGAGAGAGGAGAAGACAGCTCCAAACATGAGCCAGAGGCCTAGGAAGTACCTGGTAAGGGGATGGGTGTGCGCTGAATCGCAGGTTTCTGAATGGGACCAGGGTCCCAGCCTTGAAGCACTCAGGAGGCTGTTCTCTGCTGGGGTTCTGACAATGAGTGCAGTGTCACAGGCAACACCACATCCTGTTCCAGGACAATGCTTTCAGAGCCCCAGGCTGACCCTCTGTTTTCCCTCTCTTGCAGTCGAGTCATCCTACCTGTGTCTGTTGAGGAGGTAAGTCCTTTTTCCTCTTTTTATCCAGAGTTGGAGATGCTTGCTTGTGACCCTCAGCTCAGCTGGGCTCCAAGCAGCCCACACTAGTATCTTCGCCTGGTTTTCGTGTTTGTCCTAGCATAGAGATAATCAGTACTCAGTGTGAATTCTCCTGGTGCGATTTTCAGTTACGGGAAGGCACTTCATGTATCTGACCAACTGTGTGTGACCTGCTTCAAGCTGTTGGCCAGCAAGAGAACCATGGATAGACACAAAACCAGCCCCCACCCCACCCCCCCAACCTGCTGGAACTCTGCCTGTTTGATGACATGTTACTGAGGAGATTAAGGACGTGCATTTCTGAGACCTCCGTTACTTGACAGGGAGGCATGCCTGGCCCTCTCTGGTTGTGCAGCAAACCAGCAGGGCTGAAACCTCCGAGGCCCTTCCTCGCTACACTTAGGTGACTGCTAGGAAGGCCGAGGCCAGAATCCTCCTTTTATGGAGGGCAGGGAATGACAAATGGGCTTGGCTTGGCCTCTGTCCTTTTATGGTTCTTGGGCCCGACGTCCCCGTGAATTGCGATCTGGCAGGATTGACCACACGAAGGTTCATAGGCCAAGCTGACTCAGAGTCGGTCTCTGGAACAGCAGAACACTGCCCCGGAGCCTCCCTCTTCCCGCCCTTCCTCTGAACTTCCTTCACGCTCCTCTACCAGCTCAGTCTTGTTCTTTGATCCCTTCAGAACTGACAGAGCCCCTAGCTTCCAGCTAAGCTAAACTTTGGGTGAAGCTGCTCAGCCACGGTGCTGCCCTCAGTCACTCTTTCCTGCAGTGTCAGCTCCCTTGAGCACTTCCACTCAATTCCACATATGGAACAGTCCTTTGCAAAATGAGATCAGGCCAACAGAGCCCGCAGCACACTTGAGATGAGAGGGAGGGTGGGCAGGCATCAGCCCTACCCCGGGGTGGGCTGCATCTCCATGTTGAGAGCTATAGAGACCTGGGGGAGGGGTCGGGGTGGATCTTGGACAGGACAGGGGAGTTCTGGGAGAGGAGGATAAGAGAAATGAGACTCGAGAGACTGGGCAAGGGGATGGCTGGGTGGATGCTGTGACCCCTGAGATGTCCTGGGGGCCTGGGAATCACGTGCTTGGGCTGACAGCTGTTGGCTTGGTGGCCGGTGGGGGGGGGTCCCTGCTAACCCATCTCCTTTGGGGTCCTTGGTCTCTTTATGAAAAATAGCAAGTGATGATTTTCCAAACCAGGAAACCAGGCAAGAAGGCCCAGCATGTCACTTGCCCTGAAACTCTGCTCTCAGGGGTCCAGTGACTCCCTCTCTGATGTATGGCAAGGTCCCACACCCCAGTGAGGCACATGTCCCCCGGGAATTCAGGAGCACCTCCAAGTGGCGTTCAGGGGTGACATGGATCTTTTCTCCCAGGGAGTGTCTCGATTTTAATGACAAGTGGGAGGGTCTGAGCAAGGCGGCAGATGCAGGAGGGCCGGCACTTGTCCAGGGCAGCTCTGGGCCGATTGCTCATGCTGGGGCCACAAAGGGCGGGAAAGGGGAAGACACCTTGAGAGTGTCTGCAGCTGGTGGTTTTCAGTTTGCGATGGCTTGTTGTTTTTTTTTGGAGCCTTGAGGAAGTGGTGAGGTGGGGTGAACTAAGCCTGAAAGCAGAAGCTTGGGAAGTAAGCACAGGTCGGGATTCATCTGTAAGCCTGGTGATGGTCAACCCGTTCCCAGTCAGAAACCACCGATGAGGAAGCGGTGCTTGGCCTGTGTTGGGTTGAAGCAGGAGCTGTTCTTTGGCTGACTGAACCTTAGTTCCAGAAGATCAGAACATCTTGAGTGGGGAAGCCCTAGAAGAAATAAGTAATGACCAGCCTTCTCAGAGTCTTTATCGACAACCCATCCTGACTGGAAACAGCGCAGTGTCGTGGCAGTTGGATTCACTTCCCAGTTGGAGGCCCTTGGAGCTTTATCATTTTGGAAGGGGAAGAGAAGAGAGAAGACCCTGTCTTCATGACCATCCCGATGGCTTGAGTCAATGTTTGGGGGTGAAATTGGCTGTGGCTGGCCAGAGCCTTTGGCCTAACACTGGGCAGGGTTTCTAAATGTTCCGCAGCAGAGCCAGAGAGCCCTGGCCCTTTAACGTGCTGTATCCACCCCTGGTTTCTTACTCAGTCCAGCCTGCGTTTTCCCCCTCCTGTGGGTAGGGCTTTTTTACTTCTCTTCCAGAGATGCACGGTACCAGGCCCCTTTGGTACCTGGCTTGGCAGAGCCATGGGGGTGGGACCAACAGCTGCGCTGTTTTTCACATGTTTCAGGCCCACCCACTGCGTCTTCCCAGGCTCCCACTTCCAGATTGCCAGCGTGGTGGGGCCTCTGTTTTCCTTACTTCTTGGGAGCAAAGGAGCAGCTCTCCAGGGCAGGGAGCACCGTTCTGGGCCAGAGGAGGCTGCAGTCCTAGTCTCCCCAAGGCTCTTGATCTGATTTAATGTTCTGGCCCCGAGCCCCCGCCTCTATGCCATCAGAGTCTGGCTGCTTTCTGTTTTCCCAGGGTGCGGAGCCCCAGTGCCAAAGGGAACCCTCTGACATGAAAAGTGTCCCTCACTGGTGGCTTGTGGAGGCCAGTCTTGCTCACCCCTTTGGATTAACAAAACCGCCTTCACATGTCTCATTGGGATTAAAGGATCAGAATATCAAGAGAGATTAAAAGGGAAAGATGCCAGTCCCACACACTGATCCTCTTAGAGCCTGCCCTCTGATTCCTGCAGCTGAAGAGGAACCAAATAAAGGGGATTAGTCAATGCGCAGTCCCCTCCCCAAGCAGCACCACCAGCCGGCAACCCAGTCCCCTCCACCAGGCCCTTTCCCCTGCCTGCCCTTTAGGATTGCTGAGTCAGTGGTTAGATGTTCTCATGACTCTTCTCTGAAACAGACTCACTGCTGCTGCTTAGGATCCCCTGGCTCAGCCAAACCCTGACCCACTTGCTAGGGGTTTTCATGGATGTCTCTATTAGGGGTTGGACTTGGAAAGGCACCGGGACAGCCTGGGGTTCCCTGGGGGCATTGAGGCAGCCCTGATGTAACTGTGGAGTAGCAAGGTCAAGGGGACTGGCTCTCACCCAGATGTGCCTCTTCACGGGATCAACTGAGCCTTGCTGGTTTGCTTCGGTCTTTCCTTGGCACCTTGTACTGTGTCTTTGCTTTGGAAGGTGGGTTCTTCCAGCCTCGCGGTGAACAGGACTTGTCCTGGCGTGCTGCTTTACCTTGCAGATTTTGCCCAGAAACATCCCTGCGGAGCTTGGGAGGCTGCCGGCTAGAGCGGCCTTCCAAGGCTAAGGTGGAGTGGGGGAAGCCGCACTGCTCCTTGCTGCTGCAGGCAGGAGCTTCCGCAGCAGCTGCCCAGAGACACGGCTTTTCTGCTTTAATCTCAAGGAGAGAAAGACTTTTGTCTTTCACTCCTGGGAGTACCAGGAGCTTGGGGAGGGGGTGTGGAGGGGTGAGGGAAATCTCGATCCCCACCTCTCCCCTGAGCTGTAATCAAGTACCTTTTTCTCTTTTCCTCATACTCCCTAAACTGTTGTGGCTCGTGGCATTGGCCATAACAGGGAAGAGGCATCCTTTGGTGTAGATGTAACTTCCTGCTTTAACAGCTGCTGTTTATTCTCTTCTCATCTTGTTTTCCCCTCTAAACAGAAGGGCCATCCCTGGGCACTGCCCAGGTCATTGGCCCTCATACTGTGTTGTCCTGAGGGGATCAGAGGAGGCCAGGAATCTTGACTGGTGACTTGATAGTGTGGCATGTGACCCAAATAAAGGAAAACTAGGCTTTGGCCACCTAGTAAGTGCCAATGTAGAGGGTGCATCTGGCCGGCACCATGGGATAGGAATCTGTGCTATGGAATACGAGAAGCAGGGCACTTGCTTCAGCCCCACCAGGAATCAGGAAAGCATCAGGAGATTTGGTTGCCTGCAAGACTTCTCCCTGAGGTGCTGGCAGGGGAGGAGGGGCCCAATGCTGAAGCAGAAGCAAAAAGATGAGCCCGTGTTACAGCAGGGGTTGTGGATTTCACGGAGCATTGGGTGCGTTTGTTTACAGAAAGTCACGTCTGTTAAGGGGGATGGGATAAAGAGACTTCTAGCAACCAGCCAGATATTGTTTGGGGATCTGGGACTGGAGTCAGGGACAGAACAAAAACTACCTTGGATTCTATAATCTATTTTCTGGATAGTGGTGTGAAAACTATATTTACCTGCCTCCTTAAACCTTGCAGGAGGATGTGAAAAAGGGAAGGACGAAATTAGACACCTCTGACGGCTAAAGGAAGGCCACAGAGTGGCGTTGTCAGTGGCTCCGGGAGGATTTGGGCCAGGCCACGTTAGGACCTGTGGGATGAGCCCCCGGATTCAGGGGTCCCAGAGCCATCTCACTGGACAGCTCCCACAGTGGGGCTGTGTGCAACCCTCGAGAAGATTCTGTGTTGGCAGTAATTCCCCTCTCTGTGTTCCTTCAGTATCAAGTAGGGCAGCTGTATTCTGTGGCTGAGGCCAGCAAAAATGAAACGGGTGGTGGTGAAGGCGTGGAGGTCCTGGTGAACGAACCCTATGAGAAGGACGGCGAGAAAGGCCAATACACGCATAAGATCTACCACTTACAGAGGTAGGTGCCCTGCAGCAGAGCCAGGGTGGCGGCCCACTGTCAGAGTGCAGACAGCAGCTCATTGCAGGTGTTTCTCGGGTTGGCCCGTCACTCAAGTTGCTTCACCTGCGACGGTGGGTAAAGGTGGTTCTTCTTTGCTCTTTTAAAGGCTGTTCTGTTTGTTTTTAAAGTATTACTTGCCCCACCAGGCTCGTAGTCCCCAGAAGTGATAGTGCTTATCTTCTTGTGGGCCCTTTCAGTGTCTGTGAATACAAAGAGTGTGTGTGTGTGTGTGTAAGTGGGTGTTCATTTCCTTTATTGTTATGTTATCTGACAGATGCGATCTCTTCTTTCTTTTCTTATCATGGCTGTTTCGCTGTCAGCATATTTGGCCTCTTTTAAAGCACATGCAGTCTGAACAGACGTACTGGCAGTGGTTTCGCCAGTCTTGAAGTATATTTACCATTATTTCCACATGTTCACAGGCAGTCCTCCACTAAAACTCCTTCTGCACAGATCCTTTGATGTGCTAAATGTGTGTAAATCTATAATAAATGTGCCTAAAAGTAAAATTGTGGCTTCAGATAGTATTTTAAATTCTGATGTTATGAAATCGGGTCCTGGAGAAATTTTTGGTACCTCTCTTTAGCCTAAAACCATTAAGTATTTAAAAGTATGGCACAAACTGATTTGGGTACCAGAATCCGTTGCAAATCACACAATTGCTGAATCCCTAACCAAGACAGTAATATTTCAGTAAACTGGCCCAAAGAACATTGAAAGTCATAGTAAACATGGACCAGCTCAAGAGGATGTTGAATCAAGCTTGTTTTAGAAACGACCCGGTACTGGAAAAAATAAGCCTTCAATTTCTTTTTATAGTTGTGGTAAGATGTACACAACACAAAATTCACTGTTTTTACCATTTTTTTGTTTGTTTGTTTGTTTGTTTGTTTTTACCATTTTTAAGTTAAGTGGCATTAAGTACGTTTGCATTGCTGTGCAACATAGACCTGAACCTTAATCTCTAGTCCATTCAACTGAACAAAGCAGTTCAGTTTTCATTTGGTAAAACTGCTAACTGAAGTCTGCTCTAGGGATGTAGAAGCGCCAGCCCGGGGGGTGGTCCACAGTTCTGTGAGTTCCAGAGCGTGGAGAGCATCGCTGAAGTGGGGAGAAAATCTCACCACGATCCCATTTCCTCGGCACTGTGCTCTTTTCCCTCTATGCCTCCCCTTTGACCTTTGAGCTGACTGCCCACCCATTCTTTCTGAGCCATTGATGAGAGTCAGGCTCAGGACAAACCTTCCTTGTAGTGCATTTGTATTGGGTTGGCCAAAAAGTTCATTTGGGTTTTTCCATAAGATGCTGCAGAAATGCCCAACAAACTTTTTGGCCAGCCCAACATTTTTTAATGAGAACTTTGAAAAGAGATAGTGAGACTGGTAGCAGGGGCCAGCTGGTTCCTCAAGACTCAGTCGAGGAAGGTCTACATGTAGAGGGTAGGCCCTGTCTCACCCTCTTCCTTATGGAGAGGATAGAAGCTTTGAACCTACCTACCACTAGTCTTTTTATTGGTTATGCCATGCAGCTTGTGGAGAGTTAGTCCCCCAACCAGGGATTGAACCCAGGTCCACAGCAATGAAAGCCCACGTCCTAACCACTTCACCACCAGGGAATTCCCTCCCCGCCACTACTGTTAACCGCAAGACACCCAACTGCTGAGAAAGAAAACGAAAACCAAACCAACAGTGCTATATGCCATGGCCACCTCTCCTCATGAGGACCAAAGCCTTCCTGTCAGCTATTAGTTTTCCCAGTCAGAGACCACGGGTTCACCACACCCTCTTCCTTCTTCATCACATCACATCAAGTCCTTTTGGGTCCATGTCCTTGGTTATCTCCAGCGTTTCTCTTTCCTTCCAGTCTCTCGTCTGGACTACTTACCACTTGTCCGTACAGCTCCGAGTATTCTGTCCAGATCTATTGCTCCCCAGCTTTAAAGCTATACATGGCCCTTTGCGCCCGGGACAAAGTCCATCCTCTGTGGTGTAGATGCAAGATCTCCTGTGCCTCAGCCTCTGCTTGTTCTCCCGTATTCCCCACCTCATGCCTTACGCCAGTTACTCTGAACTTCTGTGTCTTCCCCCAGCGTTTCCCATCCCACCCCCGGCCTCTTGTCTAGCTCAGCCCTACCCACGCGCTCCTCTGTTTCCACGTAAACCCTCCTCTCCCTGGGGAACCTCCCCATTCATGTGTTCTCACAGTACGCTGCCTGATCAGTTCCACGGGAGCTCCCTGAGGACAGGGGCCACGTCTGTGTGATTTGTGCGTGTGTCGGTGCCTGGCACACACGGATGCCTGAAAGAGTATGGCTGTGAGTGAGTGGGTCTCAATGGGCTGCTCTCTGCGTTCAAAGTTTGCTCTTTCCTGGGGGTAGCTCGTTTTTCGAAGGCCTCAGACCCCCAAAGCTGATGAGGTTATTGGCACCTGCTAAACTGCAAAGATTACCAGTTAAAAACTAGAGGAGGATTTCCCTGGTGGACCAGTGGCTAAAACTCCACACTCCCAGTGCAGGGGGCCCAGGTTCAGTCCCTGAACCTGGAAACTAGATCCCACATGCCACAACTAAGACTCAACGCAGCCAAATAAATAACTATTTTTTAAAAACCAAAAACACTAAGGCAGAGGAATATACATACCTTAAAAATAAAATAAAATAAAAAGTGCTAAAAAAAAAAAAAGTACTCATACTTTTTATACTTGCTGTTCTGTAACCTGAAATAAGAATTGAGTAGAAGAAACTATTTTGTCCTGAAAGGCAGATGGCTCTGGGGCCCTCCTGGCCACCCAGAACTGACCCCAGCATATCAGATCATCTTGGATCCCCTATTCCAAGTCAGTCAGCCAGTCCCCCTGGTCCCGTCTCAGAGACATCTCATCCTTGCAGGGTGTAGTGTCGTGCCCTGGGCCCAGTGAGCTCTGGAAGGTTGTGTAACGATAGCGTAGGGACTGATGAACCACAGCAGGTAGCCCGGGGCCTCACCCACTGTGCTGTTTCTGGCAGGTCATGGGGCAGGTTGCAGGTGCACGTTAGTAGCCGGCGGAGCTGGGGTGTTGGTCTCTGACCGCTGGCTCTTTGCAACCAGAGTAACCTGCTGGTCTCATGAGAACTTGAGTGTCAACTTCCCAGTGAAGAGCCTGGAACTGTGCCCCGGAAGGTGCGCCAGAGAAACACACTTGTCTTCTAACTCTCTCCCCCGTTTCTCTTTGTAACCCTTTTCTCACTACAGCAAAGTGCCCACATTTGTTCGAATGCTGGCCCCAGAGGGAGCCCTGAATATACATGAAAAAGCATGGAATGCCTACCCTTACTGCAGGACCGGTGAGTGCAGACCCACCGTGGATGGAGGGTGTGCTCAAGTAGGCCCTGGGTGGCAGTGCGTTGGGGTTTTGTCTCCTGCCTTCATTTTCCAGACTAAGCCAGTGGAAGGATGAGCTTGGGGTCTTTGTTCAGGCTGGTGGTGAGTGGCAGTGTTGTCTAGTGCGATTTGGCAGCCAGCTGGGTGGGAACCAGCAAATAGCCCCAGCCCAATCTAGCACAGAACAAGTCCCTCCTATTTGGGGATGGTGTGATAATTTTTATTGTTTTTACTCATTACAAAAGTAATGTCCTCTGGGTAAGTTTTGGAGAATACATACAAACAGAAGGAAATAATCACCCATAAATCCTTCTATTTTCTAGTCGCTGTTAACATTTTAGTGTCTTTCTTTCTAATCCTTTTTTAAAATGCTTTTATATACATAGATGTGTGTGTGTGTGTGTGTGTGTGTATAAAGCCTCCAGATATGTTTTCCAGACAAATTTTGGGTCAGATTTTACTAATTATTAACTTGCCCGTTTTTACTCAGTAGATGGAGAACCTATTTTCTGTCACTACCTATAGTCTATTTTTAAAAATTGGTTAATGGTGCACAGAATTCCATTGTTTGAACGTGCTAGGATCTTTTTACACCCCTCCCTTATTGTTAGAAGCTGAAATTTCCAGTTTTAATGGTATATATTCATGTTTGGCTTGAAAAGCAGCAATGAGGTTCAGGGACTCTTGAGAGAGGCAGTCCAGGATGTCCCTGGTGGTCCGGCGGTTAACACTGTGCTTCCATGCAGTGGAAGGGTCGTGGGCTCAATCCCTGATCGTAGGAACTAAGATCCCACATGCCATGTGGCCAAAAGATTTTTTTTTAAAGAGAGAGGCCGTCATAGGAAAGAGCCTGTTAGGGTTACCTTCCTGCCCGGAGGAAGGACCAGACTTATACACCAGAAAACATAGCAAGGAAAACCCTGATATTATTGGAGAAGTGTTAAAATAAGCCCAATGTGTGATGACAGAGGATTCAGAAACAGCTATCCCCCAAGTACGTTATATAACACCTGCCCTCTGCACACCAGATTTGAGGAGGGGAGGACCAGCAAGAGGGAGATCACTGGCAAGAGCCATGAGTCAGCGCCTTCCACTCGACCAGCATGTTCTGTAGTTGAAGGTGGGAGTAGGAGTGGAAGGCTTCTCTTAATCTTCACTAATCTTGTCTCTGGATTTTCTATTCTAGACATTCTGGGATTCCCTTTGTGGGATTCCCTTTGAGTAGTTCACACTCCTAGCTTTTCAAAATTCCTAAGTCTTAAAGGGTTGTTTCGAAGTAGACCTCTTGGACAGCCCATGCTGTTACTGATGCATATCCTGGGTGGGGGGTCCCTCGAGGTCCCTGGAACTTGACTGTGAGTTAAGAGGATTTCCCTCCAGCCAGTCTGCATTTGTTGGTGAAGACAGTCTGGCTGTGGAGTCCTCCTGCCAGCCTCTGCTTACATGTACTTTTGACACTTATTTGTCTCATTTGTGGGGATCCAGCACTCCCTAGATTCTATCTGATTAGGAAAATGTGTGTGGTCCTCATCCTGTTGAGGGAATGACTGCCATCTAGAGACAGGGTCATTACTGTCTGGTCATTGTTCATTCAAGAACCTTGTATCAGGAGATGCTCAGTCATTGGTGGGACCTGGCATGTGTAATGCTTAGTTTTATTGCTATAGCTGAAAATGCAAACATCGCTGTTCCCTAAGCATCAGACAGGAAGCTGTTCAATTCTTGGAAAAGAGGCACACGCACACTTTCTTAAAGGACACACAGTGTGCACCATGGCTGGGTGTGTCTGGTCTGGGGCCAAAGGTGAATTTTCCTGATGTCTCAGAGAGTTGCACTGAGCATGCATCATAAGAACCTTAGCCAACTTGGCATAAAGGAGGCAAACGGATAGTGTGGACTGCTGCGTGCCTGGGGCGGGGTTCTGGTTTCACAGCTTGTGCCCACTGAGCCGCTGCTATCCTCTGTGTAGTTCTGGGGAGAGTGAGCTACAGCTGACAGGGGCATTTTTCTAGACGCCTTATGTTCATTAGCATCTTGTTCTGATCCGTGGCCAAAAGAAGAAAAACTATCTCTAAATATCCCATGGAGAGGAGAGGCAGGGAGTGAGGGAGGGGAGGGTGGTTTCTTCAGTGGGAGCTGACTTTATATTCAGAACCCACCATCATGCAGTGTGAGTGTCTTGAATCTTAGATCTGTTCAGTTAGACATGGGTCTTTTAAAAAGAGCTCTGAACAAAGAAGGCTGTGTCCAGTTCCTGCTGGGGACTGGTGGGAGAAAGATTATTAGTTCAGAACTCTTAGGCGGGACTAAGCAGATCAGAGTTTGAAGTGAGAGGGATAACGGAGTGTGGAGCGAAATTCCACATGCCTTTTGGAAGGTTCTGACCTTGTTCTGAGTAGAAGGAAGATGGATTTGCAATATTCTACTCATTCTCAGCTCTTTCTGTCCTCTTAACCTTATTTCTCTCTATTTCTTATCCCCCGATGCTCATGAGTTGGGACATGAGGAGAGGGTAAGATGGGCCTGGGCCTGTGAATGATAGCAGGAAGAGACACTTTCTTTTAGCAGCACACAGACTAAAACTGTAATGATTCCGAGTTTAGCATGGCCCCTGTGCAAGGATGACACGCAGATTCATGAAGCGCTCCATGAAAAAAGGAAAGAAAGTAGGAAGAGGGAAATAAATGTTTCTCCTCCTGTCTCCGTCTAACCTTAACCCTGTCTGAGTACAGTCTCAAAAAAGACATAGTTTTGGGAGGATTTCTGTTTGGGTTTTTTTTTTTTTTTGCTATACCACACAGCATGTGGGATCTTAGTTCCTTGTCTTGGGGTTGAACCTATGCCCCTTGCCTTGGAAGCATGGGAAGGACCTTACTGGTCTCATTGGAGAGCCCTGTTTTCCAACTGCAGTTTCCTGAGACTCTTCCAGACTACCTAGGGTTGCAGTTTGAAGAAAAGAGAACTGTCTGAGTGCAGAGGTGTTTGGAAGCAGGGAGGCTGGAAAAGATTAGGGAGGATTGTCTGTTCACCCACGTTAGCATTAAAGGCCATTAAAGGGGGTCATCACCCTTGTACATTCACAATTTGTCAGAACTGAGTGGATCTGCTTCTCAGGATCCTAGAAAGAGCTGATATCCAAAGACATCCCCCACCCCCATCCTCCCTGAAATGCCAAAATATTAAGTTATACTGAAATACAAAATGACTAATAAAACCAGATATTCCTGTTTGCCAAGCAGGACTCGCTTCCCTCATGGGCTCATCTGCTCAGGAAACCAAATTCCAGCCTGTAATGGAGAACATCATCCACTTGCTTAAGTGATCAGACCCTCCTGTCTGTTGATTAGCACATTCCATCCCGGCAGAGGCCAAACTAGGAGAAGGCTGTTCGGGGAGCATAGACTCAGAATGAGGTGGTTTGTTGGGGAACCCTGGTGGTGTGTGTCATCAGACCAGGCCAGCCTGACACTCAGGGTGGGGCTCCTGCTCCCAGGACAGCGCCAGAGAACCGCTGCCAAGGAGGTCTCTTTGGCCTCACCCTTCGTGGATATTAGACCCATCATTTCCTTTTTTGTTAAACGAATAACAGGGCAGTTATTTCAATAAGCCTTTTAGTTATCATCTTGATCTGTTGCTTTCTTCCAGTAACTTCCGTTGGATTCAGGGAGGTTACTGAGATCGTCTCTTGGGTAGCTTCTTTTTCTTTCTCTCCTTTCTTTTAAAAAAATCTTGGCTTTATTGATTTTACTGGAGTGTAGCTGATTTACAGTGTTGTGTTAGTTTCAGGTGTATGTACAGCATAATGATTCTGTTATACATCTACAGATATCTTTCTTTTTCTGATTCTTCTCCTGTGTGTTATTGCAGAATATCGAGTGGCATTCCCTGTGCTATGCACTAGGGCCTTGTCAGTTATTCTTGGGTTGTTTCCATAGGAGGTGGATCTTATCCCTTATATTTCAACTTGTCCTCATCTCAATCTCAGAGGTAACCTTAGTTTCAGTTTTAGAGTCAGGGAGCTTCACTGTTGGCCCCACATGCCGGCAGAGGGGGCAGTGGTGGCATCCATCCGAAACTGCACCAACTCCTAAGTTCAGAGAGTACAGAATGATCTGGGCTGTGGTCAGGAGGAGAGCTAGTCCGTTCCCCAGTGACATTAGAGCTGCTGTCATTTTCTCTGATAAATAATTGAACGGTGCTTTCCGAGGGGGTCTCATTACAATGAGCAGGAGTGTGGCGGGTGAGAGGTTTGGTTACAGCGACAGGAAGGATGCAGAGGGCAGATAGACAGCGCCTGGCCTACGGTGCCCTGCTCTGCCCCTGGAGGCAGGGGGCGGCGGGAGGAGGGGGCAGCAGGTGATGGTCTGACAGTAGAGTCGTGGGTCTCAGTGCTTCAGCTCGTCAGGGCTGCTCCCTGTCCTTGTCCAGCCGGGAAGAGTCCTGAGGAGCCAATAGTGGCACCCCTTTAATGCAATCCCATACTTGGTCTTTGGGAACTTGTGCATGAGTTAAACTCGGAGGTTGGTGCATTTGAGGTCCCAAATCCACTTGCTGGGACTTGGAGGGTGACCGTGGTGTAAGTCCCAGGGAATGGAGAAGTCTTTGCTCCCATGGTCCCAGGGTGGGGGTGGATATTTTATTCATCTTCATTAATCTTTTTCTCTCTTCTTTCCATGTCCTTGCTGTGGAGCAGTTATCACAGTAAGTATTTCCAGGGGGGTGGGGACTGTAGATGATTTATAAGGAAGGAGAAAGAAAATGGAGCTGCCCTGGGGCCTCCTGGATTCTCCTGTCTTTGTCCTGGGTGGCCTTTGAGGCTTCATCCTTTCAGTCCTGTTGAGGAACTTGTTAATTGGTACCATCCCCTCCTGCTTGAAGCTGCATTGGCAGGTGGCTCTGTAGGTGCTGCAGTAGTCATTCCCATTTGGGCATCTTTTGACCCCAGTGAGCACTGATGCTAGGCAGAATTGTGACATCAGCCTGGCTTCTTCTCTCTGCCCCGCCCCTCTGTCAACGCCCCCTTCTGTCCTCCCTGCAGCATCCTCATCCAGGTAAACACAGGAAGTTTCGGGGAGCCTGATTCCCGCTGAGGAGTTAGGGGGTTAACATGTTCCTCCTTTAAGTAGTTCCAGTTTTTAAAAAGCACTAAGGGAAGAAGATGATAATTAGTATGAAGGCTTAAATGGCTGAGAACTTCAGGCCTCAGCAAAAGGCTGGCTGGGGGAAGGGGGGCAACACGTTTGGATGGCTAGGAAGTCTCCCTGTGCTCTTCCCACGTTGCCACTCAGCCTTTACACCCTGCACATGAGGTAAATGGCAGAGATATGTGGGTTAAGTGCATGAATTTTGAAGTCAGACAAAACTGAGTTTGAGGCCCCAGTCTGTGGTTATCTCTGTGGCCTTGGGAAGTCCCCTCTGAAGTTCACTTTCCTCAAATGTGAGGTGAGGGTCGTGTTAGCACAGCCCTCGCAGGCTGGGGTGAGGATTGAGTGAGGGAGCGTGCACCTGGTATAATGTGAGGTCCCGGGACAGTGAGCTGTTAGTACAAGGCAGAAGCTGGGGTCTCTTGTCTGCCCGGAGCGGGTGGGGAGGGGTGGTTACTCTCCGACTTTGAGCCTAGTGACTGTAAGGTGTCTTTCCCTCTCCCACAGAATGAGTACATGAAAGAAGACTTTCTGATTAAAATTGAAACCTGGCACAAACCTGATCTTGGGGCCCTGGAGAACGTAAGTAGCACTTCCCAAGATCCCCGAGGACTTCCAGGCCTCAGGATGGTACTGAGGCTCTATCCCTGCCAAGGGCTCTTCACCGTGGTCCCCTTTTTCTTGGCCAGGAAGCTCGCAGCCTGTGCCTAGATCTGTCCTGCCAGCATGGGATTGCTCTGTCTCTAATTTGAGAAATATGATCTCCAAGATGCTTTCAAGGACCTGCTAGTGCTGGGATTGGTCTAAAATGCAACTCCTGGCACAGAAGAGCTGAATTTTTATAACATCATAATGAGCGAATCCCCTGACCATCCAGTGGTTAGGACTCGGCACTTTCACTGCCTGGGCCTGGGTTCAGTCCCGGGTCAGGGAACTAAGAACTAAGATCCCACAAGCCACATTGTGTAGTGCCCCCCCAGCACCCCTGAAAAAAAGCCCATCAAAATTACAGCCTCTATAGAGCTCAGTTTGCCAGTAACTCCTCAGATTTACAATATACCTGTCCCTTACTCTAGAAATTCCACACCTAGGAATTTACACTATAGTTATGTTTTCATATGTGTGAAATAACAATATCAGGGAGATTCATTGCTGCATTCTTGGTGTTTGTTTAGTCACTACATCATGTCCAACTCTTTTGCAACTCCACAGACTGTAACCCGCCAGGCTCCTCTGTTCATAGGATATCCCAGGCAAGAGTGAGTTGCCATTTCCTCCTCCAGGGACTCTTTCCAACCCAGGAATCAAACGGAAGTCTCCTGCATTGGCAGGGGGATTCTTTACAACTGAGCCATCCTTGGTGTAGCCAAAGGTTAAAAACAACATAAGAGCCCATCAGTGGGATCCTGTTAAATAAAACATTGTGCAACCATGTACTTGTTTATTGTGCAGCCATTAAAAAGAGCCAGTAGGAAACAGTCTTCAAGAGATATTGCTCAGTGGGGAAAAAAAGGATGTAAAATATGTGCTAAAAGAAAATCTCTACAGTGGTGGTACCTGGGAGCTGACTGAGAGACATGCAAGAGAAAGAGTTACTTTTTATCATATCCTTTTGTACCATTTGAACTTGTGTCAGAATTTTGTATCTCATACCACCTCTTTGAGTTAGTTTTTATCTTTTTTTAAGATCTTTTACTTTTTTTTTTAATGTGGACCATTTTTAAAGTTTTCCTTGAATTTGTTACAGTATTGCTTTTGTTGTTTTTTATGTTCTGGTTTTTTGCCATAAGGTATGAGGGATATTAGCTCCCCAGATTGGAAGGCAAAGTTTTAACCACTGGCCCACAGGGAAGTTCCAAGTTCAGTCCAGTTCAGTCACTCAGTCGTGTCCGACTCTTTGCAACGCCATGAATTGCAGCACGCCAGGCCTCCCTGTCCAGCACCAACTCCTGGAGTTCACCCAAACTCATGTCCATCGAGTCGGTGATGCCATCCAGCCTCTGTCGTCCCCTTCTCCTCCTGCCCCCAATCCCTCCCAGCATGAAGATCTTTCCAATGAGTCAACTCTTCGCATGAGGTGGCGAAAGTATTGGAGTTTCAGCTTCAGCATCAGTCCTTCCAATGAACACCCAGGACTGATCTCTTTTAGGATAGACTGGCTGGATCTCCTTGCAGTCCAAGGGACTTTCAAGAGTCTTCTACAACACCACAGTTCAAAAGTATCAATTCTTCGGTGCTCAGCTTTCTTCACAGTCCAACTCTCACATCCATACATGACTACTGGAAAAACCATAGCCTTGACTAGATGGACCTTTGTTGGAAAGTAATGTCTCTGCTTTTTATATGCTATCTAGGTTGGTCATAACTTTCCTTCCAAGGAGTAAGCGTCTTTTAATTTCATGGCTGCAGTCACCATCTGCAGTGATTTTCATTATTAATAATTTTTAAGAGCATCAAAATAAGCAGTATAGGGCTAAGCAGGCAGCATCCTCACAAGAGGAATATGCAGTCTTCACAAAGGGGGGACATATGGAAATAAAGTAGGTGCTAGGGAAGCCTGGAGAGCCTTGGGCTGCTGCAGTCATATTTAGCTTGAAAAATCAGAGCATTAGTTCTCAAATGTATGTCCACTTAAAATTCATTCACCCTCCCACTCCTTTGGATAGTTTTGTATGTACTGGTGGGAATCTCACGTCTGTGGCTGTGGGAACAGCTGCTGTTAAAGGTCCATTCTGGGTAAAGGGTGTGGTAGCTGTTGAACTGTACATAGTGAGCGGTCACCCTTGTTCCTGCAGGTGCATAAACTGGAGCCTGAGGCGTGGAAACATGTGGAAGTCGTATATATAGACATTGCAGATCGAAGCCAGGTACTCAGCAAGGTAGGAACTGTTCAGCTGTATGGGTGGCCTTTGAGATGCAGAAGTCACTTGTGTCAGAGAAACCAAGGAATCATGCCAACTTGGGTCAAAGGGAAGTTCTCTCTTGAGTATTTTATTTTCTAAATGAGTGTTAAGAATCACCTTATCTTGACTTGGGGATACCACCAGGCAAATAGTGGCCCAGATGTACAGTCTTGTGCTTCTTGGCCTAATATCCCCAGTCCTATCCTCAAAAGATTAGTGGATTTAAAACAAAAAACCAAAAACTTTTCACTGAAGTATAACATATATAGCAAAGTGAATAGATCCTAAGTGTGCATCTATATACCTCAAACTGAACATCCCCAAATATTTCTCAAACAGAAACACTAGCCAAGAGTATGGCCCCTTGAGTATTTTGTCGATTCTTGTTGTTTCATGTGAGTGGAGAGAAGCAGAGGTAGGGAAGGTTTAATAAATAATCTCCACTTTGGAAAATGCTTTACAACTGTATGTGTATGCTTGTGATTGGATATCTTTGTTATTTTTTATAAGTAGATGCTATAAGGAGTTTGGTTTTTCCCTTGCCCACATTAGTTAATGCAGAGAAACAGCCCAAGAGTAAACTTTTGTTACTGTTAATTAACACACAGCATTGACTGCATTTTAAATCAGTGAAGGGAGATTGACTGTAGTACACAAGAGGATAAAGTCTATACATTGAACATTTCCAATAATGATTTTATTAAAACAAGGCAGTTTAAAAACAAAAGCAGAACAAAGCCAGAGAAAGGTGGGACTGGAAGATTTTAGAAATGACTGGCTGGTTGTTCTCAGCTCCAGCTGCTATTTTAGAATTGCCTGTTTTTTAAAATTACCCTGCGTTGCTCAAGGGTCAACTGTGTTTTGAAAACACCTTCCCTGGTGCTCTGGGTGTTCACTCCAGGTTGCAAATCCCCATCTTAAGTAGTGGAAATCCAGGCCTGTTCACACAATTCTGGTAAAACTGAAAACAAGCCCTGGCAGACAAAATCACAGAGAGCTCTCCTCAGAGGCCAAATGTAAACAGTTCTATATCTTGTTTATAGACTTTCCCATGTTTTCTTTGCACCAAAAGCATCAAGAATGGTATGAACTGTTCTGTGGTGGAAAATCTGATCTCCTTCTCTCTTCCTGCCCCCCCCCAACCCCTGCCTCCCCAACTTCTGACAGGATTACAAGGCAGAAGAGGACCCAGCAAAATTTAAATCTATCAAAACAGGCCGAGGACCCTTGGGCCCCAATTGGAAGGTGCAGTTCACACTTTTACCACCAGGGGGTGCTGGGGCCGGTGTGGTTGGGCCTCCCTCCTGGAGGTGGGGAACTGGGAGGGGGTGGGGGGCGCAAAAGGAGAGCCAGAGGTCGGCCCTCTTAGTTACCCGTCTGCCTGTGGGTGTGTTTCTAATACAGCAAGAACTTGTAAATCAGAAAGACTGCCCATACATGTGTGCATACAAACTGGTTACTGTCAAGTTCAAGTGGTGGGGCCTACAGAACAAAGTGGAAAACTTTATTCATAAGGTAAGTGACCAGGCTGGGGGACCTTCTGGTGTGTTGGTGGGGGGCGTTTTGCCCGACAAGAGAAGATCATACAACCCCATGTGGCTTGTATCCTAGGGTGGCCAACATCAGGATATTCAGGTCTGATTTCCCAGATCCCCACTTCCCCTTGCACCACACTCTTAGAGTTTAACGCTGTTCATCCACGGGTACCACATGCAAATGGGAAGGAAATTGAGGCAAAAGAAGGAAATAGGAGGGGGCTTGTTATGATTAAATGGCAAATAAAACTCAGGATCTTTGCTTGACACCAAAAGGCAAAAAGTACTATGAACCAAATTCTCCCAGTACCTTGAGTTACTGAACTAGACAAACCTAAGGCGTTTTTTTTTTCCTTTCTTTTTTTAACAAGAGAATATCAAATGAAAGTAATAACGTGTGTAAATGGGAGACCCGGGAAAACTGAGTAATTTGCCCAAATGGCACCTAAGAAGTTTCTATAGCCTTCTCTCTGATGTGTGAGAATCTGGTAAAATTGAGCAACATCTCATAGCTGCTGGCCAATTTTATTTACTTATTTTTGGCCATGCCATGCAGCACGCCTGATCTTAGTTCCCTGACCAGGGATCGAACCTGAGCCCTTGGCAGTTGAAGCACAGAGTCCTAATCACTGGACTGCCAGGAAATCCCCCTGCTGCTGGTCAGTTTTAACCTGGTCTTTAGGCTCCAGAGACGAGGAGACTTGGCACAGTCATTTTGGGATCTTGGCTCATGGATTGCCTGTCTTGGGCGCAGGACCTCGGGGCAAGCTAGGCACCATCCTCTCCCTGGCGGCTTGTTGACTTGAGGCCATACCCATCAGAAATGTGGAGGCAAGGGTCACTGACCTGGGGGATTGGAGGACCGATCCAGATCAGCCAGTGGGGTACCTACGACTCCTCCCCCAACCTTCCCAGTACAGTCTGGGTGTTGGTGTGGAGGGTGTGGGCAGGAGGGCTGCCACAGCAGCCCACACCTTCCAGTTCTAACTTGGGTCCCTTCCTTTTTATAGCAAGAGAGGCGTCTGTTTACAAACTTCCACCGGCAGCTGTTCTGTTGGCTGGACAAATGGGTCGACCTGACGATGGACGACATTCGAAGGATGGAAGACGAGACGAAGAGACAGCTCGACGAGGTACGTGGGAGGCCCGAGGAGACTCCGGGGCTGTCCGCTAGGAGACTGTCGTGCCGGGGCAGCTGACTGAGGGCACCGTCCTGTGGTTCTAGGAACATGTCAGCGTCCACTGTGGGTAAGGTCTAATGCCAGGCGATATGGGAACTACGAGGAAGAAAGCAGCCTGTGCTCTTGAACTTGCAGTCTAGTCGAGGTCTTGGCATATCCAGAGAGACAGATATGGCGGGCTGTGCTGAGTGCCAAGTGAGTAATACAGTTGCCGCAGCGGTCCTCCAGAGCCGGGTGGGGGAACCGTGCTGGGCTGCAGAGGCGGAGGTGGCCCCGGGAGGCGGAGGCAGGCCGGGCTGGTCCACGAATAGCATGCACGAAACTCACAGAGGACAGCAGTGAAACGCACACCACAACCCCTCTTTAACAGTGTTGGAGCTATTTTAGAGTTTGGAGCCTTTGCCCCCGCCTTTTTTTTTTTCTTTCTGGCTTGGCACGGTTCCCAGAAGGAGAGCTATCTGCTGCTCCATGGAAGCCTGATGACTTAGCACCCCTCTTGCCTCCTTTGAGGAATTTGGGGCTGCCTGCCTGCAAGACTCCCTCTGAGGAGACTGTCGGTAAACAGCACTCAGGCACCCACCATGCGTGAGGCATCATTCGGAGGGCTTCTCCAGGTCTCGGCCCATCTCCTGTGGTTCTCACAACCCCTGTGAGGGGGTGCCGCTCTTACCCCCACACTCAGGTGAGGAGGTAGAGATGCTGGGAGTTCAGGGCCGGGCGCAGGATCACACAGCCTGCAGGTGACACAGTCAGTCGGGAGGAGGAGCCGTAGCATCAGTCACTCGGCCGCTTCTCCTCCCTCTAAATGCTGTCGGGGTCTCCTTCCTGCCTCTCAGGGCCAAAAATGAGGCAGGAAGTTCTGTTTCATAGGAACCGCCATCCATTTCTCCCTCCTTGCCCTGGGAGGGTTGGCACGGAGCCTGAGTGTCTGGCAGGCAGAGCTTTGCACAGCTGTGCCTGGCTCTCCAGCAGGGCCTCCGGTGAGGCGCAGGCCCAGGTCCGAGGGGCCCCCACCACACTGGTGCTCCCACTGCACTGTGCTGGTCTCAGTGGAAAGTGGGCCCATGGGCGCTTCCTTAGAGGGGGAGCCCTGTGGGGAATGGATTCTCCCCTCTAGGGTGACACTTCCAGGCTGACTCACTGGTTGCAGCAGTTTGCTGAGTGAGTTCCTGTTGAAGGCAGATGTTTAAGTTATTCATTCAGCTGCAGTTTCAGGGAGGTGGCAGGATTTTGGACACAAGTCCTACTTCTGCTTAAGATCTTCAGGAAGCGGTAGGTTTTAATGTCCAGAGCTCTGGTGATTCTAACAGTGTAAGAGAGAATCCTTGAATCTTGTGGTCACCTGAGTCCTGACCAAAAGAGAAAAGAAACAAGTTACCAAGTGGAGGGTCAGGGACAGAGCCTTGGAGGTTTTAGTCTGCAGCTTCAGTTACCTGTTGCTGCCAGGCTGGCCAGAATACCCCAGGGTCATGGAAACGCTGGCTGACAGCCTCTTGGGGTCGAATTGGAATTCCTGGTGCTGGCAGGCCGTCTGGAGGATCTGCTGAGCTGCCTCCCTCAGGTCCTCAGCTCGAGGGCACGCGTCCTCAGAGTTCTCTTCCCATCCCCAGCGCTTGTCTTTGTGTTTCCATTCTGTGGATAACTGTGCCAAAAGTTTGGATGATCTATATTGTCCAAGATAACTGCAAATGCAGAAATCCCTCCTTGGAACTGGAATTTTTTGAATAGTTGGCGGTGGAAGAGAAAGCAAAACTCCTGCGGGGGACGTGTTCTGACCCCGTTAGCAACTGTGTAGGACCTTTGTGCTCACTGTACTTCTGGCTCACGTGTCGCTTTCCTTCCTTATTTTTCCTCTAAAAATATTTTTATCAAAGTTTTATTTTCAGAGGGTTTTTTTTTCCATTTTTAAAAAAAGCCACTTTATTGAGGTCTAACATACAAAGAGCTGCACCTATTTAATGTGTACATCTTGAGGAATCTGCAGATAAACAGACATTTGTGAAACCGTCACCACAGTCAGTACCATCACCCCACAAGTAGGTTTTATACTCAGGTAGTATCCCACACTTATGAGGAAGACACTGGCTTCTTCTGCCCTATCCCCAAGGTTGCGGCCCCAGAAGTAGCCCCTTGGAACCTTTTTTTTTTTTTTGAACTTTTTATTTTGTGTTGGGGTATACATACATTAGCTCAGTCATGTCCCACTCTGCGACCGCATGGACTGTATCCTGCCAGTCTCTTCTGTCTGTGGAATTTTCCAGGCAAAAACACTGGAGTAGGTTGCCACTTCCTTCTCTAGTATTGGGGTACAGCTGACTGACACACACTGTGGTAGCTTCAGGTGAACTGTGACGGGACTCAGCCACACATATACACACACGAACCCTGTCATCTCCTCTGATTTTCATTTCTTCCGTGGGTAATGTTCTGGTTTTCTTAGGAAGTTAGTAAACGCCTCCCTCGTTGTTCGCTTAGCTTTGTGTCTGTATCATTAAGTTGTGTCTTTGAGACTCACGGGGCTGGGTGGTTGGGCTGGTTGACACAATATCAGTAGTTGAGGCTGGTTCATTCTCATTTTGCTCCCACTCGGTAGACACTTAATCTGAAGATCTCTTCAGTTCTGGAAGATGTTTTGTGTGTCCCGTGTCATCACTTTCTCCCCTCTGTCCTCTTTGTTCTCTTTCTGGAATTTGTTGTTGTTGTTCGCAGTTGGACATATGAGTCGACCTTCGAATTTTCTCATGCTTTGTCTCCTTTTTTGTGTGCTTTCTAGGAGAGGTTTTCTGAAGTTAACTTTTGTCTCCTCCATTCAATTTAAGACATTCTTAAGCACTTCTTGTTCTGTTCTTGGCCTCATTTTCCTTTTCTGAAGCATGGGGTTTGGTTCTTGCGTTTGGTTTTGTGGTGTCTCTTCCCCCTGAACATTGTTTCCTCTGAGATCCTCTTCCTGTTGGACTTTATGTTTCCTGTTAGGGGCTTCCCTCGGATGACTGGGCCTCCTTGGCTGTCCATTCACAGTGAAGAGAGCAGCTCCAAAAAGTGGATGAAGCTCTCTGAATCAGTTGTTATTGTTGTTCAGTCGCTCAGTTGTGTCCAGCTCTTTGCGACCCCAGGGACTGCAGCACGCCAGGCCTCCCTGTCCCTTACTATCTCCCGGAGTTCACCCACGTTCTGAATCAGTCAGTGGCTGGGCTTACTGAAGGGTAGTCAGGTGGTTCCGCTGGGGCTTCCCGCTTCAGCCTCCTGAGTGTGCTTTTCTTGGGCTGCTCGTTTTGCTTCAAGAGGACACCCCAGCCTTTTTCTCATGGGGCAGGTCAAGGCCAGTGTTCTGGGAGCTGATCTAGGGAAAGGTCCTGGGGGCAGGCTGAGAACCAGGGGAGGTAACACCGGGGCACGCCAGAGCCAAACTCTTCTTTACTTCCTCTCACAAAGGAGCCACCCATTTCTAACCCCAGCTGCACTCCCTGCACATAGAGGCGCCTGGTGCTGCCCGTCCCCCAGCTTCTGGAGAACCTGCAGCGCTAGTGGGCCCGCTCCCTCCTGGCTGCCCTCACCCGCCGCTCCTGCTGCTCTGTGGATTAGTCACTGCTCCTCCGTCCTCCTTTCGTCTTCCAGAATGCTGTTTCCATCTCTTACCTGCTGTTGTCTCCTCTGTTCTTGTTGTCTTTGTAGTTTTCCATCTTTCCATCTATTTTTCTTTGTAATTCCTTTACTGTCATCATGCCTAGCTTTGGGGGAGAAACAGCAATAAATGCTTGTACTGCATCCAGCCTGCCATGATTAACTGCAAGTTTGTGATAGAAATTATGACTGTTATTCTTTAAACCAAGGCATAGCAGTCTGGTGTGGGTGGGTTGTTTTGTGAGTTATAAGAGGTCACTCTAAGGCCACAGTCACCCCTGCCATAACTCTTGTCCCTCTGGGAGATGAACCCGCCATTCTTGGATGAGGCTCAAGGATTTGAGAAACACGGGATCAAGAGATTAGTCCTTTGCCCTAAAAACAAAAATGTCAGGAAATGCGTGCCTGAGGGGGACAGTGGCTCTCCCTCCCTCCCTCTCCCTCCTCTCCTGCTTTTAAGAAACACGTAATCTCAAAAGTGGAAGAAAGTACCTTAAAGGTCATTTAGTCTAATTCTGTGGCCAGCGCTTGAGTCTTCTCTGCCCTTTCCCATTAGCTTGTGATTGAGCGCCTCCTGTAATGGGGAACTCACTGTCTTATAAACACGGCAGTCATAAACATATCTATCTATCCATATTTTTTAATTGAAGTATATAGCTGATTTGCAATAAGTTGTTTTTGTGGCTTATGGGATCTTAGTTCCCTGTCCAGGGATTGAACCCAGGGCCGAGGCAATGAGAGTACCAAGTCGTAACCACTGCACTGCCAGGGAATTCCCGTACAATAACATACTTTATTATTATAGAAGCTGACATTTACTGAGGTCTTACCATGTGCCTGTCATGTGTGGTAAGCAAACATTTGACATGAATTGTCATGACATCCTCTTGGCTACCTGTGCCATAGGTATTCTTTGCAGAGAAGTTAAGCATACCTTCTAGTTCAGAGAACAGGTTCCTCCTGGACCTTGGTCATTAACTCTAGATTATGAGATGGGGAGAAGAGGATTCATTTTAAAAATTGTAAAAAAAAAAAAAACAAAAACAAAATCTGTTTCCCTGTTTACAGGACTCTCTAGAACATTTGCTGAAAAACAGCAAAGAACACATGATTGAAGACTCCGCAGCATTTCCGTCCTTGTCTTCCCTCATGGGTCTTCCTCTCTGACTCTTCCTCTCTGACTCTGGCTCCTCTGATCCCTCCGTTGCCTATCCCTTCTGGATTTTGTACTTTGGGATGGAGCTCAGTGGCTTCATGGCACTCTTGGCTCTGTGGGCTCACCTGGCAGGCTTGTCTCTGAGCGTCTCTGTAGACAATCTCCCTGTCCATTTGCTTGAGTCTGAATGTACCTGTCTCTTTATCATCACTTTAGTATGGATGAAGAGGGCCCTTGCTCCATCCTCTGGCTTTTTGACTGATGATTCACCATCACTTCTAGATTTTAAGTCTTAAACACTGGACCAGTTACCTATCAATTACATAAACATCCCTGTGCAGTGAAGTGCCTGTCAGGATACTGCATCCCAGAGTTCCCTGTTTGGGATTGTGATAGACAAGGGTCTTCAGGTTAAAACACTCAGTGCCTGGTTCATGTGCTGGGCTGTGGAAGATTGTATCTGAGATTCCCGTAGTGCCTACAGAGGGCAGAGCGAGTTCTTCTGAGGCCGAGAGATCCTTGTCTTCTGAGGCTGATGCTCTCCTTGGAGTCTTAATTCCCTCCGCCCTGCCCAGCAGCAATTGACCCCAGAGCAGACCACCTGGAACATTGACCAGCATCTTGAAATAGGGGAGCAGCCTTATTTTCTTTTTAAATATTTAAATTTTTCAATATTAAGGTAATGTGTAAGCATTAAACAGTTTTTAGGAAAGTAAAAAAATAGAAAAAAATCACTTGTACTCTCACTATTTAAAAACAACCACTGTAAACGTTTTAAGAATTCTTACACACTTTTACTTAGTTCTGATGGTACTGCACGAGCCTGGGTGGTCCTCTCACTTTTCTCTAAACATTATAACAGCATTTAAACCAGGAAAAAAGTTCATTCACATACACGTTTCTCACAGTAGCTACATCTTACTCTGTACTCTCTTGCCCCGTGTTGGATTTTCCTTCATGTTGTTTGCAGGTTTTCATTGTTTACAAATAATGCCATGATGAAAAATTTCTATGCACTCCATTGTTTGGGTAATTAGGATTATTTACTTAGAATAAATTCCAACAAGCAGAATTAGAGGATTTAAAATTCTTGTTACTTATTGCCAGATTTCTTTCCCAAAAGGCTGAACCTGTTTATATATTAGTTTCTAAAGAAGTTCTAAAAACAGTTCCACTTTTGCCTTGTATTTATGTCCTTTCAGAACAGGTCTGTGGTTACTATTCAGTGTCATAAATGATTTTTTTTTCACTGGCTTAATTTTTTACTTAATTTTTATTGGCGTATAATTGCTTTACAGTGTTGTGTTAGTTTCTGCTACAGCAGTGAATCGGCTATATGTACATATATCCCCTCTTTTTTTAGATTTCCTTCTAGCTTAATTTTTTTACTGAACTTTTTATTTTGAGATGATTGTGAGATTCACATGCAGGGGTAAGAAATAATACAAAGAGGAGATCTGTTTCTCCCAGTGGCTACGTCTTGCAAAATGATAGTATGATATCACACCCAGGAAATTGACACTGATACTTTTACAAGTTCCTTTAAGTCAAAGGTGTATTTCATACTTATAGGAAAAGCAATTTTCAAAATATGGAGAAAAATATTAAAAAAAAGAAGACCAAATAAATAAAAATAAGTAGATGAATAAAAGTCCCTTTCTTCCAACCCCTGGCCTCATTCCCTAGAGAAAACCACTGCTAAAAAGAAACCATCCAGGAGTGGAGCTTCTGTTTTCATGTTCCTCAACTGTATGTGCATAGATAGCCGGTAATAGCTTGATCCGAGGAACACTACAAACATTAGATAAAAATCTCTCATTTCAGGCCCCAGGAAACAGGAAATAAGCATTCTTAGAACATTTCATCACAAGAATGAAATAATGCATTTTTATTTTGGTGCACCCTCTCGGGGGGGACCTTGTCTTTGGGAGTAAAGGAAGCTATCATGTTTCCTGATAGGAAGTTACATCTTACTTCAAGCAATAGGAGAACAGGACCTGGCTTTGCGTAAGTAAATTCAAGCCAGGCAGTGAGCGCCCAGGGTCTACAGGTATCTGCTTGAGACCCAAAGGGCTTTGTTCCCATGATACTAAACCTGAACCTCTTTGATTATTGAAGATGTACATAATGAGTGCATTTCTGTCTTCTTTCACATTTATTCATTTGGCTGGCTGTGCTGGGTCTTAATTGCGGGCACTGCAGGTCTTGAGTTGTGGCATGTGGGATCTAGCTCCCTGGCCCAGGAGCGAGCCCGGGTCCCCTGCATGGAGTCCTAGTCACTGCACCACCAGGGAAGTTCCCGTTTCTGGTTTGGGGTCGGGGGCAGGGAGGTTGGTAATTATTTTGAAGGAGTTTGTTTGTTTTCTGAAAGCGTTTCAAACTTAATGAAAATGACGAGAATAGCTAGGAAAGGAAAGACAGCATCACACAGAGCACCCTCCTAATCTGTCTGGTGCAGCCCCTGTTTTCTGGGAGTTCCACGACCTTGACATTCGTGGAGGTTATAGGCTAGTCATTTTGTCGAAGGTGTTTCAGTTGGGGTTCGTCCTGCACTTCTGCGTGATTAGATCCAGAGTCTGTATTTCAGATCAAAAGGTCACAGACTCAAAGGTGTTCTTTTCCTTGTATTCTGCCTGTCCTTGTCCAGTCCCGGTGAAGTTACCTTTGTTCACCTGGGTGTGGTCATCACTGTTGGGGTGTTGCTGATCCCAGATGTCCTCTTAGGATGGTGCGGAGGGATTTTAACATCTGTAGCTATTTCTATATCTCTCTGATCTATTATGTTCACACAAATACTTCCAATTCCGACCTCACACCACAAGGGTAACTTTCCGTCTTTCAAAAAATTTGACTCAAGAAAAATCTTGAGTTTGTTAAGCTCTTATAAAGTAATATATTAATTACTATGGATAACCAAAATTATAGGAACAATACAGATTTAAAGCTACCATTCAGGAAAGTGAGTTTTGAGCAAAATCTACAGGGGAGAGGCATCATTACAAGAGGGAGCTAGGAACTGTCACTGCCATGGCTTCAGGTTCAGTCCCTGGTCAAGGAACTAAGATCCCACAAGTGGCTCAGCACAGCCAAGGAAAGAAAAAGACTTGGAGGAAACTCTAGCCTGAAAGACCAAGCTAGGAGCTTAGGTATAATCACAGTAATCAGTATCAGTAGGGAGTGACTATAAGAACCTCTGGGAAGGACCGGGAGAATGTTTTTCTCATGTTCAGGTTCCACGTGGGCTCAGTGATTTATAACAGTTTTGGGGGGATAGGGCGGGCGGTAAACAACGGTCAAGGGTTTGAAATGTGTCAGGAAGTATATTCCAAGATGTTTCCTAGTGGAGAGCCACTACTGATGAGATAAGAGTCTCTGAACAGTGTGGCTGAAAGCCTAGTGAATAAAGCACAACTGAGGAGGCTGTAGCTTAAGCGTGCAGCTTCTTGAATGTTACGTGCACACATGGCATGTTCACTGTGCTATTTAGAACAAAGACATAACAGGACTGATAACATGTACAGGGTTCCAGGCACTCCTCTGTGCTAAGTACTCTCCATGAAAGCTTAATCTTCACTACAACCCCATGACACATGTAGTGTCTATTATTATCTCTGTTTTTATTATTGCAGAAATTGAGGCTTAGAGAGCAGTGAAGGAACTTGTTCAACGTCACAGTTTAGTGATGAAGCCAGAATGCGATCCAGGCAGTCTGATTCTAGCGCTTATACTCTCTCTGAGGGGCTCAAAAGTTGTTGAATGAGTAAAGATTGAACCTCGTGCAGAAAATTCATGGACAGTGAAGACATGTCTAATGGGAAGTTATAATAGACATGTTCTAGACATCCTGCAATTAGACTCTTATTTTTAAGTTGGAAAGGATTTGAGAGCAATCACCAGCACGGTGTTCCCAGCAAGAAGCTGTGTCCACTGCTGTTGAGAGGTGCGGGGACAGGGACCACTCAGTGCTCCCAGAGAAGACCTGTCCTCTTCTCCAGCAGCCTCGCACTTCTGCCGAGCCGAGATTTCACCTGCACTCTCCATCCCTGTGCCCACTTGGCTGACTGGGCAGACTGGCCAAAGCCTCTTTTTTTTTTTCCATGTCACACAGCATGTGGGGTCCTCCCCAACCAGGGATGGAACCTGCCCCCGCACACACAGACACACACACCGACCCTGGAAATATGCAAGTCCCAGGCGAAGCCTCTAAGCAGAGCCCAGGAGAGGGAATTGCAGTTCCCTCTGCCTGAAATGCTCCCTGCCGCGCCCACTGCCGCCCCTGAGTACCCACAGGATTTCCTGCCTCACTTCCTTCAGGTCTCTGCTCAGACGTCACTTATCAGAGAGGCCTTCCCCAGGCAGCTCATAAAACAGCACCTCCCCAGAGCCATTCTCCATCCCAGCAACCTGCAGCCCCATCTGACATGGATTAGTTTCTCTGTCTTCCCCTCACTTTGTCCCAGAATGTAAGCTCCTTGAGGAGAAACTTGGTCTGTTTTGGTTCATGGCTGAAATCTTCAGGCTGGGAACCGTGCCTTGCCAAAAAAAAAGATGCTTCATAAATATTTGTTGAATGAATGAAAGAAAGAGAGGAGCTTAAGAACTAAACCCCAACACTGAGACGCAGGGGAGAGAACTAGAAATCATGGGCAGTGGGACCAGTGACAGAGCTATAAATAGTGTGGCATTGGCCCTGTATACACAGAATTCACTTTTTCCGATTTGCTTTGTGTGCAAAATACATGCTCTACCCTATCCGCTGGCAGGCTTGAGGAGGAGGAATTTGTACCTGTGGTGGAGTTCCAGCAGCGGCAAACACCTTCCATTTGTCCTGTTTTCTTCTGTTGCAGATGAGACAAAAGGACCCAGTGAAAGGCATGACGGCAGACGACTAAAGCCACTCCTCCCCCTCCCGCACCGTATGTACCAAGTTTCTCACTGAGCGCATCACAGATGCCAAAATCAGTCATCAGTCTGGGTCCTCGCCTCTTTCCTCATCCTGCCCTCTAGTCATAATGATGGTCATGGTGCCAGAGAGCTCTCGGGCTTCCACTGAAAGAGATGATGGCTTTCAAGACATTTCAGGGATCCATGTGATTGGATACGTATCCACTAGACACAGGGGCAGGGTGGTGGGACGTGGGGCTGGGGAGGGGGTGGTGGGTGAGAATCAAAGCTTATCTGCACCTAATTACTCTTCTGCCCGTGAGTGGAGCCATTTCAAGTGGAAGCTGGTCTTCTGGTTGCTCCTTTACCCCCTGGACCAGAGCCGTTCCCTGCTCCTCCCTTGGAAAATTCGCTGGCCAGACAGCTTTTCCTAGTGGTCCTTGTTGGGTCTGGTGCTTCATTTCCTTCCTCTCTGTACCTCTGATCCCAGACTGTCCCCATCAGAGACGGTATCTTTCAGGTACTGGGAGAGTACATCTGCTCAGGTGATAGACCAGGTTGGGATGTCCCTTGTTTCACATGGTCACCCTTTCCCAAGATCCTTCCTTCTGTCAGCTCCCAGAGCCTCCAGACTTGCTCTTACTCCAGCAGCTCAGAGAGGCTTAGGCATGGGACAAAAGGCCTGGCCCTGCTCCCCATCTGGCTCTGAGAAAAAATAATGTTATCCAATAAAACCTGGCTGCTCTCAGCATGATGGGGCCTGAGACCTCACCCGCTGTGACACGAACCTCTGCTTACTTTTCCTGCCCTGCATGCTTGAGGAGAACTTCCGGGAGATAAAACTGTAGGACAGAATGGGTTGTGGTGATGCCAGCTTGTCGTCACTGCTCGGACCTTAGTTTCCTCTCTCTCTTCACCCCCCACCACACCGCCTGGCATCCTTCCTCCTTTTGAAATTCCCCCGTCAGTGATTTACAGTGTTTCTATTTTATTTCTCTTCCAGTTCTGCAAGACAGTGGTCACCAGGAAGGCCCAGCAGCTCCATGCTCCTGAATGACAGGCCATCTTCGGACGCAGCCTTTCTGTGCCCATTCTTCAGGCAACTCTGACCCCTTACCGTAGCTAATTCTAGATGCCCTTTACTATTGTGAACAAATAGACCGTCTGGTATTATGAAGCCCGCGTGAGCGGGAACCTGCCCCTCTGAGATATGTGGCGTTGTAGGTGGCTGTATTTACAGCTCCTCCCTCTCCATCCATTGTGTTCTTGACCCATTTCTGTGTGCCCTCCCCCCTCCCCTTTATTTCCAAGTGACATTTTTAGTCTTTGAAAATAGCTACCTTTTGTGATGTGGTGATTTAAACGATTTACTTTGTTTTCAACCTTGGGATAAACTGAAGTGTTTGGCTTCCTGGGCAGGTCTTTGCAATTTTGAGTGCTCACATGGGGAGAGGGGATGAGGTAGAAATAGATTTGTTTCCCCCCCAGTTCCACAGAACATCAGTGTGGCTTCATAACTCTGATCTCTGCTCCCAGGAACCCACTGTTAGGAGTGCTGTAGGCACCATGGAAGTACCCAAGGCCCAGCCAGTCTGTTTTGAAAATTAAACAACAGATAACCCCTGCCCAGGCATCGCATCTCTGGTCACTAGTCTTAGAAATACCTATGGCTCCTTGGCCCTCCTGTTGCCCACTCTGTCTGAGTCTCCGCAGAGCCTGTAATATGCCCGGGTCAACTCTACCTGGAGGGGACTGTCCCGCGTGGCCCTTAGAATTGAGTCTGCCCCATGTATGCCTAATAGTGTGCCCACCCCCCACCCCCCCCGCTGTCCCCAGGAGCTCTGTATGTCCACACTCTTCTTCCCTTTCGGGCTGGTGCTGCCACTCAGCAATAACCCCCTCCTCTCTGTGCTTTCTAGATTCCTGTCCTCTGTCTGAGGCTGATCAGGACACAAGGAGTCTTGATCTTTTCATGCTGCACAAAACAAGCATGCAAAAAGCTTTTTCCCAGAACACGTTCCCCCCTCTTCTCCAGTGGCCAGAAAAGAATTTGGGGATCAAGAACTCAGCTTGTCTTGCCCCCACGCTGAGTTCTGCCCTGGACAATCAAGAGCCAGTAATGACTGCAGTGGCGAATTCTACCAAAGTTGGCTGGTGTGAAAGTCCAGGCCTGCGGGGGAGCAGAGGCTGCCGAGGGCTTCCTAGTTGCCTGTGACTTGGCAGCGCTGGAGTACGCCTTCCCAGTGGGAGAATCTGAGATAGCCGTGGTGTCACTTGACATCTCCCAAGCCTTGTGAAGTTTGTTGGCCAAGTGTGCAGTGACTCAAGCTAACGAGAGACCAAATCTCTGTTGGGAGAGTGAGAAGCAGAATGGGATGATCTGTCCTTAGGTTTTTGTCAGTTTGTTTTGCCTTACTGATTTCTAAGTGCAATAAGGGAGTGTCATGCCTGGGACTTCCTGATGGCTGCTTCCCTGTGGCCCCCCTGGGGCAAGGGCGGCGGGGGGGGCGGACAGGTTCAGCGTGGTTAGCTCCTGCCTTCACTGAGTCCCCTCTGGGACCACGAGATACCCCATCACACCTTCCTTTTAGTCTCCACACCTTGTGGGGTCTATAGTAATGGATCTGGGGCAGTTCAGTTGGTTATTAGCAGCCCAACTGCTGGTCGAATTTATTTGACAGGGAAAGTTGAAGTGGCATTCCTACTGGAGAAAAATGTAAATGTTTTCCTACAAGTTCTGTAATAGCTGTAATTATATTTGTGCTTAAAGCTTTCCCTTCTTTCATTCATCAGCTAAGTGAAGTCCAGATGTGCGTTAGCCTGGGAGAAACAAGCAGTGATAATGTAAGCAGACTATTGTTTACGTGGTTTGAGGGTCAGCAGATGTTGGTCTCCTTCCTTCAGTTCTTCCCTGAGATTCATACATATCACTCCAACTTGGGGAGGAGCGGGGCTTGCTCTTTGTGGGCTCTTTCTCTAGCTCCACCCACCTCCACCTGTTGCCCCAGTTCAGCCTCCACGTGAGCCGAACTAGAATTTTCAGAGGTCAGCTGGATCTGGGGCTCCAGTCCACATCAGCGCAGGAGGGATGAGCCTGGTCTGTTCTGTCCCCGTGGAGAGTGTCGCTGCTGGGCAATGATACCTTTTAAGTACCTCCCTTCCCTTCTTACAAACCCTGCCCAAACTGACTAGCACTCAGAGGGGCTTAGGACGCAAAGCTCAGCTCCAAGGGTAGTCTTTGAGGATGTGCCATGCCCCTTCAGACCAGCTGCTTCCGTCAGATTTCCAGGGCCACAGTCCCAGTTGGAAGCAGCGGTGCCTCTGGGGGAGGAGGGGTGCTGGGCTCTGGCCTTCTCATGGAGGGATGTAGGGGACAGGGTCAGTATTGTGGGCACGTGTATATCTTCCCCAATTCTCTTACAGTCCCTGCTGGGACTCCCTGACTTATTTTGGTTGGTTCCTAGTGCTACTTCTTTTACAAAAACACTTTGTAGACCTGATTAGATTACTTTGTTTATTTAATGTGAGTTTGTGCCTTTTTGTCTCAATCTTCCAATACAGGTATATTGGGGGAAAAAAGCAGTCTAATAAAATCCTAGACAGAGCTGTCTGGAGTCCAGCTTATTGGTGATGTTCTCATGTCCATTTTACAACTTAGATATCCTCAAACTCTTGCTGACATCCCCCATTTTACCAGGGAATGATTAGAAAGATCCAAGGTACCTCTAGAAATTGTGGCACATGGATTTCTGTAAACTAAGACAATCGCTCATCATTTTACTTATACAAACATCACATACCTTAAAGTATTGGGGCCATTTTCCACTGGTAGTATTTGCTTCTTGCTTTTGTCTCCCCTACTCTCCACATCCCCCTTTATCCTTCCTACCAAGCAAAACATTTATTTAAGGGAGTTCGTACCCTGGCTACTGGGTCTGAACCTTACGAAGCTTGTTTGTAAAACTGTCCTGCATTTTTCTTGGGAGAGTCATGGTTCTCCTCAGATCTTCAAAGGAATCCCATGCGCGGTCCTGCCCCGCACCCCAAAAAAGACTAACGAATCAGTGATTTGAAGGAAATTATCATCTTTGGCACAGTAAATAATCTTCATGTTTGGGCGTAGGTAGTGACTTATTTTTCGTTCACCAATAGCTTATTTTCTGAGCCCAGAAGCCCCTAAAAAATGTCCAAGGTGTAACAGTGTGCACGGGTTTGGAAAGAGGAAAACACTGAAGGTTGGAAGTGGAGAATGGAGGCGCTCAGTGGCCTGGAGGAGGGAGGTTACCTGTAGCTGGGGGCTAAGAGTGGATTACAGGCCGTACAGTGGCTGGCTGCATCCCATCCGGCTCGCCCTCTGCCCCTCTGGGCGTTGGGAACCTGTAGAGATCTGTGCCCTAGTACCCAGACACCTCAGTGAAAAGGGACGCGCCGGGGAAGGCGTGGCGTCGACTTCCGCCGGAAGACGGCCCCTCCCGGCCAGCCTTGCGCGGGGCAGCCTGGGAGCCTCGGGGGCGGAGTCTCGGCCGCCGCGCCCTGTGGGCCGGGCAGTGTTGCGTCGGGCTCTGCTGCTACGGGGACACGCCTCTCTTACGTCCACCGTCCCCTAGGCCCCTTTCCTTTCGCCTTTCTCCGTTTCGCGCTCCTTGGAGAGTCCTGCCTCTTCCTGTGGACCCGCCACCCAGAGTTCTCCGTACGCCCCGGCCCCGCCTCTTACGGAAGCCGAATCGGAGGCTCGGAATCCGGAAGAAAAACAATCGGGAGTGTGAGCGGGCCGGCACCTGCTTCCCAGAGAGAGCCGATTGGGCCAGGACCGGCGAGGTGCAAGCCGGCCGGGCCACTGCGTGGGAACGATGGAGGCCATGAACCCACGGACCGAGCCGAGATGCAGGACGCTCAGGTGAGGAAGGCGACTGCGGGCAGGCCGGCTGCCCGGGGAGGGATCGCTACCTCCAACCCAGTCAGTGCTGCGGGTCTGGGCCAGAACCGGACTGGGAGAGAAGGGGCCAGACCTATAGGTTGCTTCTAGTTCAGAGGCCTCTCACATTCTCCCAGGCCAGTATCTAAGAGAGCTGTGTTGGGCTCAAACCCTGCGCCTCCTCCAAACTCAGGCCGCCAAGCTCTTACCCACTTCGGCGCCCCTAGCAGGTGTCCCAGTTAGATTCTGGAGGAGGGAGCAGTGTTAGGCTCTTTGAGTTAAAGCTATAACAAAGCATTCTCCCCTTAGGTCTAGAGTAGAAACCTTGTTATTTAGATCAGCACATACATCATGGGATCTGCCTGATCCCGTTATGACCTGAAATCCACAATCAGATTTAGATAAGATCCTTTAGTGAAGTGATAATAGCTTGGTCTCATGCTTGCTCTTTAACAACGCTAATCACCAACTTAGTGCCAGTCACGATGCAAGGATTTGCTGCTAATCTTGGGACCTAACAGTGGGAACAAGAAATCCCCTCTCTGGAGGTCCCTGGGAAAACAAGGAGCCTTGCCGTGAAAGAGCTACCTTTTAATCCTCCGTTGGACAGCAGGGGGAGATCGTAAACAAACGAAGGGGCAGAACCTCCGGCTGAGTGCCTGGGAAGGTGGTTTTCCTATTGTTTTGTTGATGTTCGGAGGGAGGGGCAGGAAGTTGCTTTAAGCTGGCCAAGAATTTCTTCAGGTTGTGCTTTTTAGAACTCGAACCTCTAAGAACGGGGATCTGGTGGAAAAAAGATGTTTGGGGAAATCCTGCCCTTTTCTTCTTGCCCCCATTCTAAATCTGCTGTTACAGATCCTCATCCTTACGGTGTGCCTAGGACTTCCCTGGGGCTTGCTGGCTCTCTTGGTCTCTGTGGGGTTTTAGCCCCTGCCTGCTGTGAACTCGGCATAGTCTGGGGGCTTCCCGGGAGCACTGCTGTAACTGTTCAAATGAAGAGATTTTCAAGTCTCTCTTTCCCCTGAGCCTCTGAGGAAGCCAGTGTTATTGAGAGCTGCTGATTAGATATGTTGTTTCCCTGGGGTTTATATGAAGCTGCGTTGGATGTTATCCAACTGATGGTTTTTCGCAAAATTGGGTAGACTCTTGAGAAAGATGTTGGGAAACCTGTTATTTAGAATCTTGTTAGCCTCTCTGAAATGCTTGGCAGAATTGGTTGTGCTCCAGGGATGAGTGAGGAAGGAAAGGTGGTGCCCTTATCTGTTATTTTTTAAATTCCCCTGTTTTGCTGTGCTCAGGCCTCTCACAAGGTGAAAACTGAACGTCCAGAATCTTTCTGGTGGTCCTGGGACCCCATGGATTGAAGAGTCGGGGGTGGGAAGTTGCTGACTGAGCCACAGATGAAGGGCTGTTAGAATTAATAAATTCTTCACTGCCCACCCCATTCACACCCCTTCCCTTGCCTGACTCCAAAAACCTTCGGCCCCGCTCGTTGGCAGCTCTCCTGGTGTCAGCAGCACAGGTGCCGCCAGCCGTGGGCAGCTGTATACCTGCACGGAGGAGCCAATCCAGGGTGGGCATTTCCTGCTTCAGGGGACAGAGGGCTTAAAGATGAAGGGCTTGTAGTTCAGTGCCCCTGTTCTCTCCAGTGGATGCAGAAAAACACACATTTCCCATTCTGACTGTAACAGATTATGGTCCAGCCATTAGCAGGCGCAGCCCCTGGTCTATTACCTGGACGAGGTCTCAGCCTCCTTCCTCCGTGGCTTCCCTTCTCAGCATACATGTTGTGACGTGGAACGTGGCCTCTGCAGCACCTCCTCCAGACCTCAGTGATCTGCTTCAGCTGAGCAACCTGAACCTGAATCTGGACATATATGTCATTGGGTAGGTGTCCATAGGACACGTCACGCATCCCTATATCTGAGATCAGGATCAGGTAAGCCTGACCAGTCCCAAGTTGTCCCCATGGGGAACCACTGTAACCTGTTCACCCTCGCCCTGGGGTGTGAAGGCCAAGAACTTTCAGCCTGCATCAGAGCCAGGCCACATCTGTTGTCCTGGGTCAGCAATGGCAAGGAGCTGGCGAGCAATAGCCACTGGGGAGGGAGAACCCAGGGCTGGACAGTTGGCCGAGGGCAGTGCTAGATGTCGGAGCAGAGGCAGTGCCCTCCAGGCCGGGGGCAGGCCTCTGATCTGGGATGGGCAGTTTGCAGGAACTGAACTGTGGGATCATGAGCCTCCTTTCTGACACTGCCTTTGAAGACCCATGGAGCAGTTACTTCATGGACGTGCTTTCCCCTCTGAGCTTCGTCAAGGTAACTTGCAAGTTCATGGGCAGTTGGGAAATGTGTCTCACCTCTTATTACTAATCCCTAGTCCTTTGTCTCCCCGTCCAGCTTTCATGCTGTTACCCTTCTATTTAAAGATCCAAACCCCAGTTGCACCTGGTTCCCTGGGGCTCCTGCCTTGTGTCTTTCTGAAGTAGCTGGAGCTGAGCTGGGACCCCAGGGGCTAGTTTAACACTTTGATATTTTTCAGGTTGGGAGAATTCCTTGGGGAGGTGTAGCAGGGCTTAGTAACACCTCATTGCCTACCCCACCCCCAGCCTCCAATCTCTACTCAAAGACCCAGCCTGAAATCTCTAGAGTATAGTAGTAATTGCCACTATCTATGGTGTGCTTATTGGTGGTGGTGTTTTGTTGTTCTGTCACTCAGTCGTGTTTAACTCTTTGCAACCCTGTGTCCATTGAATCAGTGATGCCATTAAACCATCTCATCCTCTGTTGCCCCCTTCTCTTCCCACCTTCAATCTTTCCCAGCATCAGGGTCTTTTCCAGTGAGTCAGCTCTTGGCATCAGGTGGCCAAAGTATTGATGTTTCAGCTTCAGCATCAGTCCTTTCAATGAATGTTCAGGATTGATTTCCTTTAGGATTGACTGGTTTGATCTCCTTGCTGTCCAAGGGACTCTTAAGAGTCTTCTCCAGAACCACAGTTTGAAAGCATCAGCATTATAAACAAACTCTTTATGTACATTATTAAAAAATCCTAACTATTCTGAAATATAGGTGTTATACGGATAAAACCAAGACTTAGAGATCGTAACAGATTTGGATCCAGATCTTTCAAACTTCATAACCCGTGTCCTTAACTACTGTACTTTATTACTGTACTGGTGATCTCTAAGGCTGACAGGTATCCTATGACTCTCCTGCTGGTATCAGAGGTTGTCCTCTGATCTTAAGAGACATGCACCTCAAATCCTCAGAGACCCAGAGGTCAGAAGAGACACATGTGGAAGAGAAGGATTGTCAGTCTATAGGGCCAGTATTCTTTAGGAAACCGTTTTGACCATAGGATAATCTGCAGGAATGCTCTAGATTGCTGGATCTTACTCGTCTGCCCTGTACAGCTGAGAGATGAAACACAGTCCCACTAAAAATACCTCCAAGAAGCATTGCTTCTCAGAAATACCAGAACTCCTTTTTTCCTTTTTCTGGGTGATTGGATTGCTTCAGAATTCACTCCATTACCCTAATCTGGCCAGAGGTGCTGAGGCAAGAGCTGTGAATCCTCTGGAGGAGGGCAGAACCAGGTCATGTCAGATGTGATCCTGCTGCTGAGGCTAAAAGATGCCAGTCCCCAAGCCCTTGGCTCCCCCCAGATCGAACTCGGGCCTCTTCCTGCAGACTTGGAGCTGGCCCCTCTCAGAGGGCAAAACCACTTGTCTTTCACCACCCACTCCCTTCCCAAGACTGGAGGCCTCCTTGTACCTCAGCTCACTGGCAAGGCATCGGTGGGATGGACTTGAGCCAAGGAAATTAGCTCATCCTGTGGCATGGACACAGCTCACTCTCTCCGTGCGGCCTCCTGAGTTTGGGAGACCAGCCTGAGGGCCTGGCAGGCACCCACAGCAGATGCCCCTCCTTCACATAGCCGAGAGTAAAGTAGAGCCCTGCCTGCAGCCTGTTCCTGAGGCCGGAAGTTGCTGGCCACAGGTTGAGAAGCCTGATGCTGATCCCTTTTGCCTGCTCCTCGGCTCCCAGCCTCCCTCCTTCTAGTCCCTTCCTTAGCTCCTCCTCCTTCATTTCCTCCAACTAGAACTTCCCCTACAAGTCTCCTGCCTTTCCCCATAGCCCCACCCTTTCTCCCAATCTGAAGTTTTCCTGCCCCACCCCCACCTCCATCCTCCCTGCCCTACCCCCACTTCCCTGCTCTTTCAGAGTGGGCTCTAGCCTGTGGGGCGGAGCTCAGTGGCCCCCACCTGCTCTGTGGGATCAGATTAATCTTGAAACTCTTCCCAAATCTTTTTTCAGTTCCCTGGGAGTCCAGCCCTTCCCCACTCCCATTGTCCTGTTTGCTTGCGAAAGGGAGAGACCAAGACAGGGGTAGAAGGTGAAGTCGGGGACACATTGGTAGCAACCTGTGCCCAGCCCTGGTGCTCACGCCTCCGTCCCTCGGTCTTGGGTTCAGGGTTCCCCCTCCCTTGACTCCTCCACCATCCCAGAGCTCCTGGCATGCGGGATCAAGTTTCATAATTCCTGGAAGGCCCCAGTACATGCTCCCCACCCGGGGATTTCCTCCTTGGCCTCTGCACCTCATGCTCCGGAAATAGCTACTCGGGTGGTGGGTGTAGACAGCCTGAAGCTGTGAGAGGGTCACAGGCCCATTCCCACCCTACCTCCACGGCAGCTGAGAGCGGGGATTCTGGCAGTCTTGGTCCTTTGACACTGCTGTCCAAAGTGGTCCTGCGGGTTCCTTAGTCTCCTTGTGCCTCAGTCCTTCTGCAGAACAGGGACCCTTCTTTCAAAAGTTGGCCAGAATTAGCTGTTTCCCCCAACCTGCGCACACGCGTCCTTTGTGCTCACTCTCATCCCCTCTGCGTGGCGTTCAGGGACACCAGCTGCCCATAGTGTGTATTATTTTTCAGTAGCATTTTCTTAATTGTTTTTCCCTGAGCTATAATGTATGGAGAAATGTAGAGTCTGGTGGATTCTTATACGTGTATGTAGCCATGCTGCCACCCATCAAATCAAGATACAGAGTATTTCCCATTCTCTCACGCTCATGTCCCTTCTCTGCATTTACTTTCAAGAATCCTTAAAGTAAAAATTAACATCAAGAGCTACCAGTTAATCCAGCATCTTTAAGATAGATTCCTGCTTTATCGATGAGAAAATAGACTTGTCCGGCATCAAATACTAACAGCCCGAGCTGGTTTTTCTGAACCTAGATCTGGCCCTTAGCCATTGTCCCATAAAGCATCTCTGAAGTTCTTTGAGCCCCTCCATGCACGGTACCCGGGGGAGCTCAGGAGGGCTCTAGGGAGAAGGGCGCCTGGCCATACATGGGCTGGGGTGGAAGAGTCAGTGCCCTCCTGATGGTGGGATGTCTCCACCCCCTTGCTGAGCCCCCAGATTGCCTCATTTGGCAGCTGAGACTCCATCAGCACTGAGATGCCATAGACCCCTGGGGCAGGACATCCGTGTGGCTCAGGGTTCTCAAGGGCGCCCAGCACAGGCCCTGGAGGGACATGAATGCCTGTCACCCTTCTGTCCTGCAGGTCTCCAGTGTCCGCATGCAAGGGCTCCTCTTACTGATCTTTGCCAAGTACCAGCATTTGCCGTTTATCCAGGTCCTGTCTACTAAATCCACCCCTACCGGCCTCTTTGGGTACTGGGTAAGGACTGAGCTGTTTTCTGAGTCAAGAGCTGGGGGGGCCTTCTCTCACTGGATGGAGCGGGGCTGGGGGCTTTAGAGCTGGGCAACTGAAAAAGGGAATGAATGAATTGAAAAAAGGGGGTGAAATGAATCTTGGCACTCTGTCCAGGCCAGTGCCCCACATAGCTGCCTTCCCTCCTCTGGGGCGCCTAGTGTCCCTGGGATGGCAGGTAGGTGAGCTGGGCTCTGCGGAGGTGAGTGTCTGCCGATCCTGGGAAATCCCACAGGAACTGAGACCATCTGTCCTCAGGCCCCGGATGGGAAAACAGAGGTGTGTCCCCCCCCTTCCTGCCCACCTACCAGGGGAACAAAGGGGGTGTCAACATCTTTCTGAAGCTTTACGGCTACTATGTCAGCATCATCAACTGCCACCTGCCCCCCCACATGGCCAACAATGACCAGCGGCTGGAGCACTTTGATCGGATCCTGGAGATGCAGAATTTTGAGGCACAGGATATCCCCAACATCCTGGACCATGAGTGAGCGTGCTGCTGTGAACTGTGCCCCGACCCTCTCCTCCAGCCCAGCCCTGGCAAGCCTGCTCTGCCCGGTCACTGCTCCCCCGCCAGAGGCAGTCTGCCCCCATCTCCCACCCTCCCGCAGCCTCTTTCCCTGATGCCCGGTCTGCTCTCCTCTTCAGCTCTGCCTGCCTGGGGTCTAGGACCCCTTCCCTTTCCCTGGCCCCTCTGTCCTGCCTAGAAACTCTGGACGCTTCCGAACATCCCAGGTCAAGAACCTCGTGGTTCCTGAGGTCCCCGGGGAGGGCTGGTTCTCAAGTGTGCCCTGTGGGGGCACCTGGTGCCGGGTGCCCAGCTGGGGGACAGGGAGGGAGGGCTAGAGCCTGTTCCACATTCACCACTTGCCCCTCAGGGCTGGTCCCTTTGGCTTGAATGGCCGGTGGGGGCCAGGAGAACAGGCCCACTGGGGCCCGCCCTTGTCTTCACCTGATCCTCCCTCAGCCTCTGGCTTTTCACCCCCTCCTCCAGCCTTCTGCTTCCTGGCAGCCCTGCAGTGGGTGGTCAGGGCCCTTGTGGTCTCCTGCCTGCTCTGACCCCATCACAGACCCTCAGGCCACCTGCCTTCCTTTCTTTCTGAAGCCTCATTCTCTGGTTTGGAGACATGAACTTTCGGATCGAGGACTTCGGGTTGCACTTTGTTCGAGAATCAGTAAGAAATCAGCGCTACAGTGACCTATGGGAGAAGGATCAGGTATCTGAGAGGGGGATCTGAGCCTGAGGGAAAGAGTTCTGAGCCCAAGGGCGGGAAGGTCAGCAGGAGGTGTGGGGAGATTCCCTAGCGCCCGTTCTCCTTTCCCAAGCCTTCAAAGTCCCTGACCCCAGGCAGGGCAGAGTCTAATAGGCCTTGGTTGCTGGGAGTGGGGCAGCCAGGCTTGTCTGGCCAGCCCGGTCTCCACCTGGAGGCGCTCCAGCACCAGGTGTGTGTGAGGTCGGGGAGCGAGAAGGGCTTTGGCCTGCCGGCCCTGCACCAGCCCTCAATGTCCCTGTTGTCTTTCCCACTCCCGACCTGTCTTGCCTCCTGGAGGATGAGATACCACCCATTGGGACACCCTGCCTACCCCAGCCTCCCCTGTGACACACTTCTGCTAGTGGCTCCTAGGGAAATAGAATTCAGAGCCTGGTCCCTGTGGTCCAGGGACAGGGAAGTGGTAGGCGGCTCCCTCCCCTGGGACTCTGGGGTGGGGGTGTGGGGGTGATGTTTGCCTTCTTTCGCATTCAGCTGCTGTCCTGGGGGTGGGGTACAGGGCTGGGGCAGTGAGGAACAGTTTGACTGGGAGGGCACTGCCAGGTTTGAATCTTGCCCCACTGCGATGGCAAGTGCCAACCCTTTTCCTCCAGCTCAGCATCGCCAAGAGACACGACCCACTGCTCCGGGAATTCCAGGAGGGCTCCCTGCTCTTCCCGCCCACCTACAAGTTTGATAAGAACTCCAACAACTATGACACCAGGTGAGGGGGCCCCACCGGGAGAGGATGTGCTTGTTGCAGATCTGGGCCTGGGAAGTCAGACCGTGCTGGCCCTTGTGATCATGGGACCCACCTTCAGTTAGAAGTGTTGGGGCAGCAGGACTAGATCCAGCCATCACCTCTCAGGAGCGGTGCCTCCGCACCCCTCATGAGATGCTGACCGAGGGAGCTGTCCCAGGTGGTCCCAGGAGGGAGCGGGAAGGGGAGCTGGTGCTGGCCAGAATGGGGGCTGGGGCCGGGGCAGGTAGAGCCGAAGGGGAAGGGAGACAGCTGATTGCTGACTGCAGGGCACGGGAGATCGGGGAGGGGCTGTACTTCAGCATCCTTCAAACTCCTGCCCTCCTGCCCCCCAGGGCTTTCTGGTCCTGCCCAGAAGATGGTGGGGACAGAAAGCTTGGCTCAGCCAGTCACTGGTGTTAAGTAGTCCTGCCCTGGCTGTGAGCGGGTTGGGTACTAGTTAAGGAAGATGAAGTAGGAGTTGTCAGTGGGGCAGTTAGTAGGGAACAATGCAGAGATAATGTACCTGGTTAGAAATTAGAAGCACAGTTTGTGCTTTATTGGCAGCATGACCTTGGTCATGGTATTTAAGCCTCAATTTTTCCATCTAAAAATGGGGATGATAACAGTACCTATTTCATGGGACTGAGGATTCATTGAGACCACCACAGGACTTCCATGGTGGTCCAGTGGCTAAGACTCCCGGCTCCCAAATCAGGGGGCCCGGTTTCGATCCCTGGTCAGATCCCACATGCTGCAACTAAGACCCAGGGCAGCCAAGTAAATAAATATTTGAAAAGAAATAAATAAGACCTGGCATGTTAGCCTAGTGCCTGGCACCCGGTAGGCACCACGATAACTGCTGTCGTTGTTTTTAGATTCAGGTCTTCAGGTCGGAGTTTTATTGAAAGCCTTTCTAAAGAACTGAGAAAGGGACAGGTAACCACCAAGACCTTAGACTTAGGCAGTGGGGCAAAAGTAGCTCGGATCCAAAACCCCTGACCCGATTTAGGGCAGGGACCCTCATCTCTTTGAAGAATAACCCCCTACATGTTTCGGGGCTCTTTGTATTCCCCCAGCAGAATTGTCTTCTGAGGGAGATAGGAGGTGCCCCCAGGGTAGCCCAGGCCTCTGGGATTTAGGCGGTGAGTAGGTCTGTCCACAGCCAGGCCAGGATGCGAGGGGGCCCTGCTGGCCCAGGGCCGGAAGCCGTGTGGCAGAGCCACAATGTCCCCACCAAGCGAGGGGGAGAGTGTGAGCCATTTGAGGCGTGTGGAGCAAGACAGAGTGGGGTCACAGCCAGGGGCCGTGCACACAAGAAGAGGCCAGGAACACTGGAACCGAGGGCCGGCTGGGCCGCAGCCCGAGCCAGAAAGCAGGGAAGAGGGCAGGCTCCCGCTGGCCCAGGTCCGCAGCCGTCAGTCTCCCCGGCCATCCATTGGAAATGAGGATCATCATGGAAATTGTCAGGCCTCTGTGGGACAAGCCGGGCCCCTCTACCAGTTGACACTTGCTGGCAGGAAGAGAGCTGCTGACAGGCCATGTGGCCAGGCGTCACTCTGCTCACACCCTGGGTACGGGAGGGAAGGCGGCAGGTGGAAGTCACGCAGGTGGTGTGGAGAGGCTGAGATGTTCACGGTCTTCCCCAGGTGGCTGTGCTGGGATAGTGGAGCCAGGGCTAGACCTCTCCAGACTGTGCTGCCCATGATGCTTTCCTCTAGCCCTCAGTGCCTCCAGGTTCACAGCCAGTCCTTTTTTTTTTTTTTTTTTTGACGAATTGTATTTATTTTTAATGTGTATTTATTTTTTGGCTGTGCCACACAGCATGTGGGATCTTAGTTTGCCGACCAGGGATCCAATAGACACCCCTGCATTGGAAGCATGGAGTCCTAACCGTTGGACTACCAGGGACGTCCCCACACAGCCAGTCTTGCCAGCTAGCAGCAGAAAGGATGTCAGGGCTGGGATAGCAAAAAGCTTGCCAAGGAGAAGGCAGATGTTACTTCTACATGATAGATACAATCCACACTGTGACTGACATTGCTGAGTGCTGACCACGGGCCAGGCATTGGGCAGAGGGCTTTGCTCGCATCACTTCACTTAATTCCTACTGTATCTTCGTTAGGTAGACAGTGTTGATACTGACTTCTTACAAATAAGGAAACTATCTCAGAAGGACTAAGTAAGGTAGTAACAGAGTAAGTGATGGAGCAAAAATTTGAACTGAGGTCTGTGTGAATCCAGACTCATGCTTCCCCTTGCTTGGAGCCCAGGAAATGAAGGAATGTCTGGACAGGAACAACGGCATTACAGGGGGACATCACAAATGAAATATCCCCTGCTGGGAATGCCTGCAGTTGGCAGGAGCCCCACATAGGGAACAGAAACGTTCCTGTGTGATCAGTTTGTTATTCATCCTTGAAAACCTGGTTGAGGCATCATCTCTACTAGGAAATCTTCCCTGACCCTTGCCAGTTTCGCTGAGAGTTCTCTCGTGCTGTTCACGCTGCCTGCAAGCCTTGCACATCGTGCATTCAGTGTCTTTTAAGACATGGTGTACCTTTTTGCTGTGCTATGAATGCCCGGAGCACAGAGGCTAGATCTGGTTTACGAGTGTCCCTGGTTATATAGCACAGTGTGCCTGCCATGTGTTTGAACTGGGAGCCTGAGAGGACAAAAGGGACGATAAGATATTTAAGGAGCAGCCAGTCTAGTAGAGGGACCCACCCAGAGTGAGCGAGCCAAATAAACACTCTCAAGTCCAGGAGCTGGCCAGTAGAAGGCTCCAGAATTCTGTGTGGAAGTGGTAAAAGAGAGCGGAGCGAATGGAGGAGGGCAGCTGAAGCCAGGAGGAGTCAATGAGAGCTGTCAGAGAGGCAGCAGGTTTCACAGAAAGGACAGGCATTCTGATGAGAGGCACTTTGAGTGGGAATGCCCCGCTGTACAGAGGGACTGAGCTGTGTGCGGGGCCTGGTTCGCAGCTTCGCCCGGCCTTGGCAGCGTACTGGAGCCAAGATGTAATGAGAAACGAGGTCGGCTCCATTACAGGGGAGGGTGAAAGGGCTGAGGGCAGGAAATCCTATTAAAGTCAGGGATTACAGTAGGGTTTTGTTACAGTCCACAGGAACCTAGTCCACCTCCCCGCTCGGCAGTGAGCAGAGGATGTTATGATCAAACTAGGCAAGACTCTTAAGTCCAGAGTTGAGTGGGACACTTAGAAGCCATCTATAGGGAGCCAAGAGGAAAATGCTCCCAGACCCAAAAGTGGAACACATCACTCCTTTGGGGCCAATAAATTGGCTCAAGTTTTCTAGGCTCTTAAGCCTGAAGAATCTTACAGAGCTACTTGGTCTTAATTTTTAGAAAGTAAAGACATATCACAGGCATGCCTGGGAGATATTGTGGAATTGGTTCCAGACCGCCACAGTAAAGCAAATATCACAATAGAGTCACTCAAACTTTTTGGTTTCCTGGTGCACAGAAAAGTTAGGTTTATACTGTTCTGTAGTCTATTGAATGTACAATAACATATCTAAGAAAATGTACATACCTTAGTTTTAAAATACTTCGTTAGGAAAAAAAAAAACTTCGTTAGTAAAAAGTGCTAACCAGTCTCAGAGCCTTTGGCAAGTCCTCCCTTTTTGTGATAGTAGCATCAAAGATCACAGATCACCTAACAATTATACCTCTAAGAGAGCTTGAACTATTATAAGAACTACCAAAACGTGACTCAGAGACACAAAGGGAACAAATGCTATTTGAAAAATGGTTCCAAGTAGTCTTGCTCAATGCAGGTTTGCCACAAACGTTCAATTTGTAAAAATCACAATCTCAGCCAAGTATTAATGTAAGAAAAGCACCGTAAACCGGGGTGTGCCTGTCATCTCCAGAAACAGTTCTTGGGGGCTTCCCTGGTGGCTCGGTAGTAAAGAATCCACCTGCCAATGCAGGAGACATGGGTCTGAACCCTGATGCAGGAAGATCCCTCATGCCACAGAGCAATTAAGCCCAGGTATCTCAACTATTGAGCCTGTGCTTTAGAGCCCATGAGCCACAACTACCAAAGCCCTCGCCCCCTAGAGTCCAAGCTCACATCACAACTAGAGAGTAGCCCCTGCTCTCTGCAACTAGGGAAAGGGCCGTGCAGCAACCAAGACTCAGCACAGCCATGAATAAATAAATAAAAATTATTAAAAAAAAACAGTTCTTGTTCTCAGTCATGACCATTCAGCCCAAAAAAGCATCAGTGAGGCCCCCCTCGGGTTACACACTGGGAATCGGCCACTGAGGGGCAGACTGGGGGGAGATGGGTGCAGTGGAGGAGAGCTGACTCCATGGGCAGCAACATGGGCAGGCACCCAGCTCCCACCTGCACACGGTGACCTCCCTCAGCATCCGTGTCCTGGAGAAGGGAGATGTGACCTGTGGCGCCCTTCCAGGGTTGGGAGGATTAGAACAGTCAGATGCCTGCCACAGGCACGTGATGCATGGAGGGACCCTGTGTTTAGCTGTTACCAGGAATGGAGAACTGGGGGAATATATTTATTCTGCGTATTTGTTCCTTTGTCTTCTGTTTGTTAAACGAGCTCCTCAACAAGTTTGTCAGTCCCACTTATCAGATCCTCCCCAGTCTCCTGGCTTATAATAAGGGCTCAGTAAAGGTGACTGAGGGCTTCCCTGGTGGCTCAGTGGTAAAGAATCCGCCTGCAGTGCGGGAGACATGGATTCAGTCCTTGGATCGGGAAGATCCCCTGGAGAAGGAAATGGCAACCCACTCCAGTATTCTTGCCGGGGAAATCCCTTGGACAGAAGGAGCCTGACAGGCTACAGTCTGTGGGGATCAAAAAAGAGTTGGACACGACTTACCGACTGAGCAGCAACAACAAAGATCATCAAAAGAATGAACAATACAGGTGCCCAGTGATAACTGTGGACCAGGCCATGGGAAAGGAAGAAGGGGAGACAGGCTGAGGTCCTGAGGGGGAAGGAGTGGGGCTGCGGTCAGGACTTGGGGAGGATTCTGACCATAATAGGGAAGTGGGGGCAGGAGGATGCCTCGACAGGGAGAGTGGTGCATCCATGCGGTTCACTGCCACGTTTCAGGAACTGCTAGGCACTGATGTCCAAGGTTGGATTGGAGGTTTTGTGTCTAGTTTCTGGGATGGAAATTCCATCCCATGAACACTCTTCATTCCGACATCCCATGAACACTCTTCAGAAGCGTGAAAGGTCAAAACATACCAGGAGCGCAGAGCAGAGGTGACGTAGCCAGTTACCACTTCTGCAACACTCCCTCAATAAGGTTTTTTGAAGTAAGTACTGTTATCACCCCATCATAGAGTTGAAAAAACTGAGGTTTAGAGTGATGGTGTCACTTGCCAAGGGCAGAACTTTTTTTTTTTTTAACTAGATCACTGATTCGTTTTAAAAGTATGCAACTCAGAAATAGGCAGATGGAAGAGATGTGTAGGACAAGGTATGGGAGAGGGCACAGAGCTTCAATACCTTCTCCAAGAGCACCACTCCCCAAATTCACCAACACAGAACTCTGCGTTAACAGGACAGAACCTTTCACCAACTGGTCTCCAATTTTAGAGTCGAAGTTCACCACCAGGGCACCACCATTCTGCCGCTATTGCTGGAGAACCATTTTGCTATTGAAGTGATGAAGGTGTGGCAGGAATGTTTGTTTAAAATAGTAAGTGAATAAAGCAGAAGACAAAAATAGCCTTTCGAGCTATAAGTATGTGAAGTCATATATCTTAAAATTAACTGGACATTTTTGAGGAAGGAGAGTGAGCTTGGGTTTTTTATTTAGTTGTTTGTATTTCACAAGTACTTTTTTTTGTTTTTGTTTTTTTTCATGAGCGCTTATTGATGGGTTCGATCCCTATGTTGGGAAGATCCCCTGGAGAAGGGAATGGCAACCCACTCCAGTATTCTTATCTGGAGATAGTCCATGGATAGAGGAGCCTGACAGGCTCCATGGGGTCACAAAGAGTTTGATGCAAGTGAGTGACTATTACACCGTTGAGTACTTACTGCATACCAGGCTCTCTGCTAATGCCAAGGATACACAGGAGACACCAAGAGCCCCTTCCTTGCCTTTTGAGCTCACACTAACTGAGGGGGAAACAGTAAGCTACAATGGAGTGTAACAGTAGACATACTTGTGTCAAGTGCTTTGGAAACAGAGGTCAGGGCCGGCCAGGGACAATGACAGCACGGGAACTGGGCCTCTCCCTGCGATGAAGGGCGTTCCAGGCAGCAAAGCCTCAAGAACAGGGGCCCAGAGGCTTGAGAGGCTCACCAGGGTGAGGTGGGTCTGGGGCAGAGGTGGGCGATAAGGTCGAATCTGGGGCATCAGACTCCTGGGCACCTTGAAAGCCACATTTGGAGACCTGAGCTTTTTTCTGGAGGCAGTGAAGCCTCCTTAAAAGGTTTTTGCTGGATTTGTTGTTGCTGTTTTAAAAAAATATACATTTATTTATTTGACTGCACTGGGTCTTAGTTATGGCATGTGGAATCTAGTTCCCTGACCGGGGATGGAACCCAGGCCCCTGTATTGGGAGCACAGGGTCTTAGCCACTGGACCAGGGAAGACCGTCCTTAAAAGTTTTAAAGCAGTGAATCATCTGGCCAGGCTGTATGGTGTCTCTCATGCCCATTGGGGAAGTTGGGAGTACAGAAAGGGAATGGCACGTCTTCAGTTGACTCTTGAGAACAAAGCCTCATAAGAGCCAGTGTCCGGGGGCAGCTTGTGTTGTATGAAGCACGGCACTATCTGTTTTTTGTGTTTTGTCTCATTTAACCATCTCAGTAACCCTGAGATGTAACTACTGTTATCTCCATTCTACTGATGAAGAGCTGAGGCCTAAGAGGGATTGGCCTAGTGATGACCAGCATGTACCCTGTGGTCCTGCTGGCTGGCCCAGAGTCCTGGCTTCACCACACTATGGCTGGGCAATTTTAGGAAAGTCCCAACCCCTCTAAGACCCATTTTCTCCACCTGTGAAGAGGGGATAAATGGTCCTGGTCCAAGGTATGTGGGGAGATTCCCTAAATACTTCCCTTCCCTTTCCCAAGATCACATCTGTAGTTGTGGGGAGTGGGTAGTTGCGGGGAGTGGGAGGGAGCCAAGTTCCAGCTCAGCTCTAACCCCACTTTCCAAACCTCAGCCTCTTTGATGTTCTGCTGCTTTTGTTCAGGAAATAAGAAAGGGTTTAGACGGAGTGTTTCTGAGTCACCATTTGATTCATAAAAATGTAGACAAGACCGAGGGTCCTTGGCTGAGTCTGACACAGACTTGTGTACTGTTGTTGGTTCCACAGGGCAAGCATTTGCCCATAGCCAGGCTGGGCTCCACCAGCTCTGTCCAGGGGCATCTCATGGCAGCTGACAGGCCCTGGCGTTAGGGACTCCAAGGGAGCTCGAGGGGGTCCCTTCCTGCTGGCCTGATGACCCTTCTCTCCCCTTCTTCCTCCCCCCGCATCCCCAGTGAGAAAAAGCGCAAGCCTGCTTGGACCGATCGCATCCTTTGGAGGCTCAAGCGGCAGTCCCAGACCAACTCCCACACCCCTGCGCTCCCGGCCCCCTTCGCCCTGTCGCTGAGGAGCTATGTCAGCCACATGGTGTACACCGTCAGTGACCACAAGCCCGTCACCTGCACCTTTGACTTGGAGGTAAATCTGCAGGCTGCCTGGCACTTGGCAGAGCCACAGCTGTGCCGGGCCACATCCCAGACCCGCCTGCCCTGGGTTCAGAGCTCAGCAGGTCGCTGGGGAGACCTGGAGGAGGACACGATTGCCTCTCCTCCCAGGTCAGGTGTCTCACTGTTCTTAGGAGCCATTGCTGGCTCTGTCTGTCAAAAATGTGTTCAAACCCTTTGTCAGTAGGTTTCCATTTCTTCTTGGTACTGTCCCTTGGGGCTCCTGAGTTCCATTATGCTTATTACCTACTATGTGAGGTAGGACTTCCTTTCATTTGTCCTAAACCTCCCTGGCTCAGGTTGCAGAGGGAGCCCCCTCCTCCTGTATCTTGCCGTCTAATGACCAAGGTAGTGTGGGCCCCTTTGAGCTGCCAACTGCCCTCACGCTGTGTGTCCCTCCACGTGCCTCCAGCTGTTCTCACCAGAGGCCCCCAAAATGAATTTGGGTCTTTGGGTCAGAAGCCATGGAATCCTGAGAGCAACTCCCTGGCTGCTTTCTTCATCCTGTCAGCAGCTCCTGCAGCCTCCCCCACCTGCATACTCTGCCCCCAGTACTTGGCTCTCTGCCAGGTTACCCACCCACCCACCCAGCCCCAGGCCCATTCTCCCTGGCAGGGCCAGCCATCCCCCACCAGCCTTTGGCCCTTCTTTCCAGCCGGCGAGCCAAGGTCTGATACCCTCCAGGCAGCCTAGCTGAGAACTAACCCGCTCTACTGGCTGCCCCCCCACCACCCCCGCAGAGACCCTGACCTGTTGGAAGGGCACAGTCAGGACTCCCATCTCAGGGAAGGGGACGTTGCTGTGGGACTTGAACCCCTCTGACCCCTGTGTGTAGCTGAAGCCCTTGGTGTCTGTCCCGCTGATCGCCCTGCTGCCCGAGGTCCCGTGCACCATGGAGAGCGACATGCTGATCAGCTACTCCCTGACCACAGACTTCCTCAGCAGCCCCTGGGACTGGATTGGCCTGTACAAGGTGATGGGGCCTGTTGGCCACACCCCATTGTTTATCCATGCTGAGGGCTCATGGGAGTTGGGCATAGAGACCACAGAGCTACTCTCATCTACCTGGAGTCCTTGCCTACCGAGGGGCTGGCCATGAAGGGGAGGAGGCAGATGATGCTATGATGGCCAGCCTTAGAAATGAGACCATCCTCCTCTTAGGATTTGACATGGGTCCTGTGTCCTCCCAAACCACTGACCGCCCACCCAATCCCCCCCTCCTACAGGTGGGGCTGCGCCACATTAATGACTACGTCTCCTATGTCTGGGTCAGGGACAACCAGGTCTCCTTCAGTGACAGGCTGAACCAGGTACCTTCCCCCTTACCTGAGACAGGGGTTCCACCTTGCCAGCAGGGGGGCTTGCCTGAGCTCTCTGTCCTTTGGAAGGAGCAGAGAGCTAGATACCTAGTCGCTGAGAGCTGGATGGGGCCTGAGGCCATAGAGCTGACCCACATCTGTCTGTCCTTGCCTCCAGGTATACATCAACATCAGCGACATCCCTGAGACTGAGGATCCATTTCTCCTTTTTTACTATAGCAACAACTTACATTCTGTGGTGGGGATAAGCAAACCCTTCAAGGTAACAGATACTGGTGGGTAAGAGGAAGGGTGGGCTTCCCTGCTGACTCAGCAGCAAAGAATCCGCTTGTAATGCAGGAGACCTGGGTTTGATCCCTGGGGTGGGAAGATCCCCTGGAGCAGGAAATGGCAACCCACACCAGTCTTCTTACCTGGGAAATCCCATGGACAGAGGAGCCCGGGGGGCTACATTCCATGAGGTCACAAAAGAATTGGACACAGCTTAGTGAAGGAACAGCAACAACACAGAAGGAAGGATAGCCCAGATGACAAGCCTGTTGCTGGTTCCCTGAGGCCATGGGCCGAGGAGCACCCCCCTCCCCTGCACCATAGAGCTGCATCCATTTGGGGATGGGGGAGATGGAAGGCATGGAGCAAAAACCTGCCCCTTGCCCCTTCCACTCACCACCTGCTTTATCCCTGCAGATCCAGCCTTTCTCCTTCCTGGAGGAGGACCCACTGGATGAAGCCCAGCCACAGATCTGAGCTGGGCTAGAGTGATCCAGGGCAGAGGCTGGAGCTGGCAGCCAGCTCTGTCCACCACTGCCAGGAGCTGGGGGCCCGGCCCAGCCCAGCCCCCGGAGGAGGCATCGGCATCCTCCACCTCCCAGGGTGAGCCCTGGCCACCTTCCTCTGCTCTCTCCAGTCTAGATTTCTGGAATGGGCCCCTTAAATATAGGTTTTTGTTGCTGAGGTGTGAGTAAAATCAGCTAGTTTGTCAACAGTGAAGATCTAGAGATAGGCTCCTGGATGCAGGAAGGAACCTCCCTCCCGCATCTCATTTCTGAATTTTCCCCACACACGTCCAGCCCCGCCCAGGCAGGCCTGCCAGGCACATGCCCCATCTGGCACAGGCCTGCATTCTTGTCACGCCACCCTGGGCCTTAGGCTGCCTGGGCGGGGGACATGCTCCCATTTGTACAGGCTGCAGAGACTGGTTGGTGCACAGAGCACTGGGTCCCAGGAGTCTTGACATCTTGTTGCCTGTCCCCTTGAGGGCTGGGCAGAGGGTCTGAGATCCCTGCTTTCAGCAGAAGCCAGTGACCAAGTAGGCAGGATGGAAGAGCCCTCCACCCAGGCTCTCCTGTAGTTGTTGTGGACAGGTTGAGGTGTGTCCTGCCAACAGCACACACATACCCCTACCTCCACCCCCAGCTCAAGGAATCCAGCCCAGAAAGTTCCAGGGTCTGAGCAGAGGACTGCACCCAGGTTTGCTTCTGCTCATGGGTCAGGCTCCATGCCCCCAAAGTGCCCTCCTGAGAAGGGCTCGCAGTTGATAGAGGAGCTTGGCCACAGACTTTCGCAGGGCGGCCCATGCCCAGTCCATCTCATCTGCCCCTATCCTCGCTTGCTGTCGCTGGCCGGAGATCTGCCCTCTCTCTCTGCCCTGGGACCTAGAAGAGGGGGCAAGCAGAGCCGGAGTCAAGACGTTCTGGAGAATCTGGCCTGGGCATCTTCAGAAAGCATTCCCTAGGCACTGTGTGGACGCGGCCTGGCCCCATGCCCACCATCTCCCTTGAGTCAACAGTGGCTGAAGTGGTCACCTTCTTCCAGAAGACACCTCAGGGAGCCGGCTCTGTGACCATCAGACCCATCATAGGACCTGAGACAGGGACACCAGTTGCTCTGTATCCTGACTCCACCCTGAGAGCCATCTGGAACTGTCCCTTTGGCCTCTAGCGGGCCATGGCTAGAGAACATGCCATGTTCTTGGGGGTTAATTAGAAACAGTGGCTTTTACACCTGTGTGTGGCTCCTTTGTGATGGTGGTGGAAACAGGCTCGCGTTCACGGGCTCCTGCTTGAGTCCAGGATGAGGGCCCTGTCGTCCAGACTAGACTGTCTGTGTCTGATGAGGGTGACAGAGGTCGCCTGTGTGGGAATGGGAGAATGAGGTTCTGGGATGGGGGCCCTCTGGGTCCTGGGTCCCAGGGGGCTGTGCCTCCTTTGCTGCTGGGCACTTCACTCACTCCTGCCAAGCAGGTAGAGTGGGCTTCTTGGGGCTGAACTCAGAAAAGGTGTTCACTCTGCTCTCACCAGTTAATCCCTCCTCACCTGGCACTGCCTCATACCTTAGTATTCTTTTTTTAAATAATTTTATCTATGTTTTTATTTTTGGCTGTGCTGGGTCTTCGTTGCTGCTTGGGCTTTCTCTAGCTGCAGTGAGGGGCCACTATTCTTTGTTGTGGTGTGCAGACTTATTGCGGTGTCTTCCCTCATGGTGGAGCACAGGCTCTAAGAGCGTGCGGGCTTCCGCAGTTGTGGTGCACAGGCTTCGTTGCCCCACGGCATGTGGGATCTTCCCGGACCAGGGGTCTCCTGCCTTGGCAGGTGGGTTCCTTACCCCTGAGTCACCAGGGAAGCCTCCCTCACACCTTAGTCTGGAGCCTTGATCCTGGGTTAAGCTCTCCAAAAACATCACCATCTCTTCTCTCTGCCTCACCTCTCCCCAGATCCCTCTACCCCGAGGTCCCCAAGGTAACTTCTCTCTCTGCCCACAACACACAGGCACCCGAGGAGCCCAACCCTGGAACTCTCCTGCGTCTTTCCTTCTCACATGCACAACCATCATGGGTGTTGCCAGCCTTCTGTAGCTGGGGGAAGCGAGAGCTCAGAGAAATGGTGTGATCCCCTGAACTGTGGTGTCATGCAGAAACACAGGAATGGGGTCAAGAGCTTTGTTCAAATGAGAGTCCCCTCTTTACCCTATTCTCCCCTACTCTACGAGTAGGGTACCCTCCTTTACCCTACTCTAGGAGTCCTAGTTTCTATAAAATAACAAATAGCATTCCAATTCGCAAGATTACTGTGTGAGAACAACTGCAAAACATTCTACTCAGCTCTTCAAACTGATCAATGCAGCCCTGGGGCAGGACCCCAGGGCTCCTGACTCCAGGGATCCCCGTGTTTCTCCTCCTGTCTCTGGGTCATGCATGTCCTGTACGTGCCCACCTCTCCCCTTTGCCCTTCTGTCTTCACACAGTCCTACCCCTGCCTCCTGTGGCCAGGAGGGCTGAGTCCAGCAGTGATTGAGAGGCGGGAAGGAGAAGGGGGGTGCTCTCCCTCCTCTTGGCCCCAGTCAGGATATGGCCGCTCTGGGCCCAGCCCTGACCCGCAGAGTGGAAACAGGAAATATGTGAGACTTGGTGTGCGCTGGGTCTCTGCGCCTGGCTCCACGGCTGATAAGGGCCATTGTGTGGCCGCCGGGATGATCCTGCCCTGGATAGATGTGCTTCCCGGAGGAAGGAAGGAAGCTCTGCTGGCCTTTCCTGGGCGGGGGAAGCTGAGGGGATGCAAGGAAGGGTGCTTGGGGGAAGGCGCCCGCCCGAGAGGGGCTGTCAAGGCCAGTGCGGGCCCACGGGACTCCACCCCTCCCCTTCCAGCATCTTCCTCTGGAAAGGTTGCTTTCGCCCATCCACTTCACCCTTCCTATAAGGAACGGCCAGAGACCTGAGGGCTCAGTCCCAGGCCAGGAAAGTGTCAGCTGTGATTTAGCAACAATAAAGATAGAAAAACAGGAACATTTGGGGGTGGGGAGCACTGCGGGTGCCATGGAAAAGTAGGGAGCAAGCAAGACGAAGGTTCCGCACGGCCGGCCGAGCAGCCAGGGACCAACATCTCAAGCATTCAAGGCTCCAGAGGAGGGTAGGGTAGGGGCCTCCTCACAGTGCCCTCCTGCCTCTCCAGCCAACAGCTCCCTCTGCCCAACATGGTCAGTCCCCAGCAGCCCTGGCCTCTCAAACTCCAGCGGCTCACCTGCTGCTGCGGGAGGCAGGCAAGCTGGGGGGACACGCAGAAGGCGCAATGCCTAATGATGGCTCCTTGGCTCAGGGCAGGATGTACACTCTGATTTCGGGAGTGGTCACTGTGCTCTCCAGCTGACATCGGTGAGAGGGCATCAGGAGAGGCCCGGTCATGGAGCTGCTGGAGGGGAACGGCCTTCTACCCTTTGACCTGGAGCCCAGGGTCCCCCAGGGGTGGCTGCATCAGCTCCTCTGGTTACCTGGGACAACAGGCATTTCCTCCATCCCTCAGCCCCTCCTCTTCCTGCCCCAACCCCGCTGGGCCAAGAGGCCTCCCAATCAGACCTGGGCTGCTCCAGCTGTGTCCTGAGGCACTGGACCAGACCCATCCCCTGGGGCTGGAGTTGAAGCTGAACCAAGCGGCCATCCGAGCGTGAGACCAGATTCCTGGTTCCGGGCACAGCCAGAGCCAGCGGGCAGGCAGGCAGGCCGGCTTTTGCTCAGAGGTCCCGGGGCTCGGCACACTGGCGATCCACAGGCGGAATGGCGCTGCAAGTGGAGCTCATACCTACTGGGGAGATCATCCGTGTGGTTCACCCCCACAGGCCCTGCAAGCTAGTAAGTTGGGATGCTCTGGGCTGGGAGGTGGGTGGGAGTGTCTCAGAAGCCCCCCTCAAGCAAACTCCTTGGGGAAGAGGTGAGCAGTGGGGAAGCGTTCTGGTCCTTGGTAGGACGTGAAGGGACCAGACAAGAAGGTGTGAATGGAATGAAGGGCGATGGGTTTAAGCCCACCAGGGGCAGAGTGTTTCAAAGTGGAGATCTGGGTTTGACTCCCTTCTCCTCCAGCTCCCTGATCCTCAGTTTGCCGGGCTATGAACTGGGCTAACAACACGGAGGTGACAGGGCCGCTCCGAGATCTAACAAACAGTGTGTGTAAAGTTCCAGGTGTATATAGTACAGGCTCAGGTTAATACCGCCCGGCTTTCCCGTCTGGCTTGAAAAACTGACACTGGCCAGCTCAGAGCAGTTGTGAGGGTGGGGAAGGAGGATGAAGGGAGTCAGGCAGTCGCAAATGGGGAAGAACTGATTTGGCCTGGCAAGCAGGGGAGGGTCGGGTTTGCAAAGGCGCCCTAGGTTGAGAAAGGAGAAACATATAAGACACCCCGTCACCCAGCACTGCAGCAAGTGGGCCAGGTCGTCGGCAGAGGAGGGTGCGTGCGTGTGTTTGTGTGTGTGTGTGTGTGTGTGTGAATGTGACGCGCCTCGTCCCGGGGAACGGGCTGCGGAGTGTGCTGCCTCAAGCCCCCCGCGGACACGGACGCGGGCCGGGGCCGGAGCCCGGCCAAGGCCGGCCGGGGCGGGGCCGGAGGGTGCGCGCGCGCGCCGGGGCCTGGGCCCTGCCTGGGATGACGACAGGCAGCGGCTCGGCCCCGGGCGGGCCCTGGGCGGGGAGAGCGTGCCGGGGCCGCCGACTCCGGAGCCGGCCACGCCGCCTTGCCTGGCCCCCGCCCGCGCACCCGAGAAGCCGAGAAGGTGGGTACACAAGGCGCGAGGCGGGCCGAAGCCGCGTGGCCCGGGTGAGCTGGGTCCTCAGCTCGCGGGCAGGATGAAGAGGGTAAGCGGCCGGGCGGCGACCCAGTCCCAGAGCTACCGTGCGGAAGGCGAGGGTCGCCGGCCCAGGGATCGCGGGGGCTGCGGGTCTGCTCGGCACGGCCGCTGCGGGGGTCCCAGGACCCGGTGGCGCCGGAACTCGGCCTGTTGGAGACTTAGATTCTTTGCGGGTAACGTGAGGGCGTGAGGAGCGGCTGTGGCCGCGGGACTCAGGCACCCCGCGCGCCCTTTGGGGCCCTCGGGCAGCCTGCTCTGCCTCTGGGTTCCGGAGCAGCCGTCCGGGCCCCGCCCCTTCCCGTTCCCCGCCTCCGGGCCCTGGCGCGCGAGTGGCCCCTGCGTGTGTGCTGCGGCTGGGGGGCTCCGAGATGAATGAGAGAATGAATGGCTGGCCCACGGCCTATTCAACGCCCGGCACGCTCCGGCCTTCTGCTCACACTCCCGGGCTCTGTGATTCATTCATTCACGCAGGCTTCCGCGAGCAGTTTTTGAGCCCCCACTGTGTGCCTGCCTGGAGCGGGGGCAATCTCCTGGGAGAGACGGACTAGGAAACCTTCGATTAGAGCGGAATGCGACAAGGAGGGGGCTGTGTGTTTCGGGGAGTCAGGAAGGGGTTCTGGAGGAAGTGATACCTGAGCCGAGTCTTCAAGGATGACTAAGAGTCAGTCAGGTGGGGAGGGGGTTGGGTGCGAGGGCCAGGGAAGCTGCAGGTGCAAAGGCGAGAAGCTTAGAGCCGGGCGGCTGGTGGCGGCGGCTCGCGGAGCGCCTCTTGGCTGAGTGGGGTGGTGAGGGAGGCGTGGGGAGAGAAGGCACTGGAGAGGGTACCCCTGTGGGCCACACAGGAACTCAGGAGCAGTGGTAAACTGAGGACAGAGTGGGCGGCTGAAGTCCACAAACAGCGGCCTGGCAAGAAGCAGTGGGTGTGCTTGGCATACGGAAGAGTAAACCTTCACTCTCTTAACATGAGACGTTAATTGATCGGATTTGCGTTTGTAAATACCACAGGAGGCTGCAGGAAAATGAATTGGAGGAAGGCAGGGACGCCAGTTCGGAGGCTGCTTGCCTCGTCCAGGGGCAGAGCAGTGATGGAGGAACAAAGGGGGGGGGGGGGTGGTTGGCAGGTGGTGACTCCTCCGTGTGAGGAGCGGAGGGAGGAGGGCAGGCCTTTTGATACCCGGCAGTGACAACTAGCTGGAGGTGCCTGTCTCCTCTCAAAAGACGAGATATTGAACCAGGAGGATAGGTTAGGGGGCAAGGTGCTTTGTTTACTTCTACTGGACCCCCAGGTGGAAGCATCTGGCAGACAAAAGGCCCATGGTTCTGAAACCAGAGTGTAAACCTTTGATTGGGGTCCAGTGAGATATCAGGTAGAACCCCTAAGTCCTCGTCTTTCCTTTTCATTCCCCCTTACAACAGTTCCCTTGAGTCTGGAACAGTCCTAGGTAGGGCAGCCTGGGCCCAGACCTAAGATATGTTTGATTAAAAAAAGAAAACTCAAGCACCTGTTCTGTGCCCAGCATGTGCTGGGAGTAAGATAGGCTATGGTTCTTTCTGCTGCCCCAACAGGCCGGAAGGCTACCCCCAGTGGAAATCAGTTTCTAGCGGCAATCTGGGAGTCCTCAGAACACCCTCTCCAGACCTCCATAGCCCTGGGCTGAAGGAGCCCCTGAAGCTGCCCACTACCCTCCCAGAGGACAGGCTTGGGGGCACCTGGCCCATACTAGGTAACGGGGCTGAATAACCCAGGTCTGCTGGGCCTGCCCATCCCCGCTTTTAGGGGAAACCCCTCTCCAGATGGAAAGAAACCTAGAGACAGCCTTGGAAAATAAGTCCTGGGTCACTCGTGGTGGGGCATGGCTGCATCCTAGCCTGCAACCAGCCCCTAGGTTCAGGGCCATGCTGGGGACTCAAAGATCATGGCCCACTCCCTAGCTGCTCTTCCCAAGGCCTACAGGTCAATACTCACACAACACAGTCAAAGGTGGCTACTAGGCACTGCAGTCACAGGTTCACTAAGGAAGGTCACAGCCTGGCAGGTAGCAGGTTAACCTGAAAGAGAAGCTGGGAAAACCGCCAGGGCTAGGCAGGCGTCTCCCCCTCAGGCAGCCCTGCAGAAATAGACAGTGGTAGACTTTCCAGTTCCAATGCCACCCTTTCTTTTACTAGTCCTGGGATCTTGAACACGACGTTCGTCTACTCAGCCTCAGTTTCCCCGTCTGTAGAATGGGGGTAATAATCCAGACCTCAAGGCTCAGCTCGAGGGCATTGAAGGTAGTACCAGAAAACAGCGATTCGAACGCAGGAAGCGCCTGGCGCTGTAGCCCTGGTGTCTCTCACACCCTCGGCCCACCCACCACCCCACCCCACCGCACCCCACCCCCGCCTTTCTAACTCCTCTCCCCCTGGGGCGGGCGCTTCCGCCTAGCGGGGCGGGATGGTCTGTGGCGCTGGCCAGGGGCTGCGGGCTCGCCTGGCCTGCTTAGCCGCCCCCTCCTTCCGCCACCGAGTGTCGGCTGTGGGGGCGTCGGCGGGCATCCCGGGAATGCGGCGGAGCGGCTTGGGCGGGGGTGGCCGGCCAAACCCCTCGGTGCGCGGATTCCCCTCATTCCAGCCTCTAGCCGCGGCGGCGAGGCCACGCCCCCTTGCCAGCCCCTCCCCTCGGGCCCACTGGCCACGGCCAGCCGCGCCAACCCGGTGCTTGCACGGCCCCCGGAGCCGTGCTCTCGGTGGGCACCGGCTGGACCCCCTTCCTCCCGTCCCCCAAGTACCTCCCCACTCCGGCTAAGCGGGAGGCTGAGTCCTCTCCGCGCGCTTTCTCCTTTCTGCATTTTCACCCTGGGGACCTCGCGGAGGGGGCCTCCTCCCGCCCAAAGCCCGAAGCTGGTGGCATTTAAGACCCAGCCCCGCCCTTCCGCTCCCACCCATCTCCCAGCTGCGCGCGGTGGCGTCGGTCCCCTCGGTCCCTCCGGAGGGCCCCATCTCCCAGCTGGCGGCTCCCGCCGCGGGGTCCCGAGGCTCTGGCCGGGCTGTTGTTTTCAAAGTAATGAGCCTTCCCCAAGAGGCTGCAGACCGCACCTGCCGCCACCTCACTCCCTCCCCGGGGAGCCTAAGTCCAATAGTGTCGGGCAGGCTAGGGCTTTGGGTCCTAACCCTGCATTTTGTCCCCTAGGACAAAGTCAGCATCTGCATTATTGCACCTCTGGTTCCTTATCTGTCATGTACGGTGGAGGTAAAGTTGGAGAGCTCTTTCTAACTGGCCGAGGGACACGCCTCAGGGGCTTTCCCTGCTAGATAATAAGTGTGACCTGTCTGACCCAGGACCTGGCTCTGTATGTCTGCTCCCACTGGCTTCCCAGGTGACGCTAGTGGTAAAGGACCTGCCTGCCAATGCAGGAGACATTAGAGATGCAGGTTCTATCCCTGGGTGGGGAAGATCCTCTGGAGGAGGGCACAAGTACCCACTCCAGTATTCTTGGCTGGAGAATCTCATGGACAGAGGAGCCTGGTGGGCTACACAGTCCCTAAGTGTCGCAGAGTCAGACATTACTGAAGCGGACTTAGCATTGCATTGAAGGTCTGCTCCAAGCCTGTGCAGAGAGCGTCTGGCCAGAGAGGGCAGTGATATTTACTGAGGGTCTGGGAGGTGCCTGGGTGCCTTATCTTAGGCTTCTCAACAGCCCTTTGAGACAGAGGTTAGTCTCATTTCAAGGCTCTAGGAGAGGTTCCCAAAAGTGAAATGACCTGCTGGCAGTCATACCGCTTGTGAGAAAATAGCCCGGCCTTCAGGAATCACTAGCCATCACACCGGGCTTCCCTGGTAGCTCAGACAGTAAAGAATCTGTCTGCAGTGCGAGAGACATGGGTTGGATCGCTGGGTTGGGAAGATCTCCTGGAGGCGGGCATGGCAACCCACTCCAGTAGTTTTGTCTGGAGAATCCCCACTGACAGAGGAGCCTGGAGGGCTACAGTCCATGGGGTTGCAAAGAACCCGACACGACTAAGTGACTAAGCACAGGCATTACACCCCCACCTGTGCTGGGATCCGAGCTAGAGTTGTCCCGCAGGCTGCTGCCCACTGCCCACCTAGAGCTCAGTGAGGATGGGGCTGCTGGAGGCTGGTTTGGGTAGCTGGAGGGTGTCCTGGGCAGAAAATATGGAAGGATCCAGAGAGACCAGAGAGGGAGTCCCCCCACCCAACAGAAGAAGGAGGTGAGGAGCCCCTGGGCACGGGGGGAGGAGGGGCCCCCTAGTCAGGGTGTCCCGGGTAGGGGGAAGGGTATTGCTCCGAATGCTGGAAATCGGGCCGTGGATTTCCCAGATGGAAAGCTGAGCCCTCCGTGGAGGCCCTGCACGAACGACGCTGGGCACAGGCGCCCTGTGGCCGTCTCCCTCCCTGGGGCGCATGTTCTGTGAACCCAAGAGATTTTCTTGGGACTTAAAGACGTGGGACCCACCCTCCAGAGAGTGTACAGGGTGGGGGGTGGACAGTGTCCCCGCACCGAGGCTCCGCCTGCCTGGGCACGACGGCCGTATTTGGACATTTCGTTCTATTTTTAACTTTCCCGGGACTCGAGGTTGGGGTGAGGGGGGGAGGGAAATCCTGCTTCCTCCGGGACCCACGGGCCTTTCTGCCTAGTGAGTTGAGTCCCCAGCCTGGCCTAGTGCGCAGTGTAGACACAAGCCCGGAAGTGAGTTCCGGGTCGGTGTAGACGCGGCGGCCGCGCGGGTTCCGGGCCCCACCCCCGGGGAGAACCGACGACGTCCCTCCTGGAAAACCTGACTCAAGCGGAGCCCCTGCCCAGCCGGGAGCCCCGCCCCCGCCCTGTCCCCACCCACGCCGCGAGATTTCCCCCCGCCCCCCGCCTGAGCGCCTGCCCCACCCCTACCAACTGGAGAGGAACCCCGGAGTCCGAGCCCCGAGCGAGGCGGGGGCGCCCGGGGAGTCCCACGCCTCCGAGCCTAGCGGAGGCGGAACGGGGGGCGGGCCGGCCCCTCCCTCGTGACGCCGCCGCCGCCGCCGCCGCCGAGCCCCGGGCCGAGAGCACGGGCCGCGGAGACGGGCGCCGGGCCGAGCGGGCAGGATGCGCTACCGGGCGTCGGTGAGCGGGTTTGCGGGGCAGGGCCAGGGGGTCCCAGGTGTGTCTGACGGCCTCGTGGCGCCGCCTCGGCCCCGCCAGGAAGCGGGCGCGGCCCAGGAATTTCGGGTGGAAAACGTCCCGGAAAGTTGCAGGAGAGTGGAGGCCAGGCCGGGAGGGCCGCGAGGCGCTCGGACCCGGGCCGGGCCAATAACTCCCGGGGAAGGCTGAGAGCGCCCAGACCCGCCACCCAGAGGGCAAGGGGGCGGGGGCTTGGGTCAGATTTGGCAGCAGCTTCGGGACAGAATTAGAGGGGTGCGGGGGAGGGCGCTGAGGGGCAGGCCTAGAAGAGTCAGGGCCACGGCCAGGCCCAAAGGGGTGCCCCCTGCCCGAGATCTGGGTGGTCTGCGGTTGGATGAGACCTGGTGGCCTCTTCGGGGATCTCCACCCCTTCCTACCCCTGCGGCCAGCTTGCTCTTTCTTCCCTGACCCTTGACACTCTTGGTGTCAGTTTCCTAGAGCTCTCAGACCCTTTTGAAGAGTGTGGTGAGGGGTGAGGGTCTTTTTGAGCCTGTGCTTCTTCCCACCCTCTGATGGGCTCCAGCTGCCAGCTGGGTTTTCCCTGGTAAAACCCCTGCTCCCTTGAGACTTCTCAGGAGTCCCAGTGGAGGAGGGTGTCTGGGGAGCCTGGCAGCTGGCCGGGAGGGTGTGGCTCCGCTCTGGGAGGGAGGGCCCCCTTCTGGGGTGAGTGGTGAGCCCAGCTGGGATGTGAGGTTCCCCTTGCCCCTGTCCCGGTGGAGTCTCTCTCCTGGGACCTGGGGCGGCCTCTTGCTGGGTCCCTAGACCCCCTCCCCCTGGAGATTTTGGTGAGTGAGAAGGGGAGAGACAGCCCCACCCTGCTTGTAGAATTTACTCCTAGTGATTTGTCCTACAAAGCACCTGTCACCCAAGGCCTAGAGCTAGGGTACTTGAGGTCACCTGGTCTACCTCAACTCCTCCTCCTTGGGATGCCTTCCAGAGGAGGGGTTTTGTCCAAGGTCAACAGAGCATTCTTTCTTTTATTCTCATGACATCCCCCCCCAACCCCTAACTTTCTCTACACAAAACCAGCCTCTCCCTGGATTCAGGGGCCTTGGCCCCATGTCCTCTGGGGCCTCTGCGTTCCAGTGGCCTGTGTTCAGGTCCCATGTGCCCCAGATGGTCTTTCTTCTGGGACCCATGTCCTCATGTCCCGTGTGCCAGCTTTCTGCCATCCGGGCCTTCTCTACCCAGGCTGGTGCACCCGTTTCCCAGGTGTTCCCTGTGTTCACATGCCCTGGTTGCCCCTGCAGTCGTCCAGGCCGTGGCGAAGAGGAGAAGAGGCCTTCCCCTACCCTGCCGCCTCTGACTCTCTCCTGTGGCCCATCCCTGCAGGCCCTGGGCAGTGACGGGGTGCGGGTCACCATGGAGAGCGCGCTGACCGCCCGTGACCGGGTGGGGGTGCAGGACTTCGTGCTGCTGGAGAACTTCACCAGCGAGGCCGCCTTCATCGAGAACCTGCGGCGGCGCTTCCGGGAGAACCTGATCTACGTGAGGCCCGAGTGGAAAGGCGGAGGGGGCGCTGGGGCCACAGATGCAGGGCTGCAGGGAGGAGGGGGGAGCGGCTCCCGGGCCTCTGGGAGAAACTTCTGAGCCTCCTCCTCCGACCACCAGACCTACATTGGCCCCGTGCTGGTCTCTGTCAACCCCTACCGAGACCTGCAGATCTACAGCCGACAGCACATGGAGCGTTATCGAGGCGTCAGCTTCTATGAGGTTCCACCTCACCTGTGAGTGACCCCCCCCCCGCCCCACTCCCCAGCATCACCACCTGAGATGATTCCACCCAATTTCCCACTTGGGATAAATCACAATTCACATCTCTGAGGAATACCCAGTCCTCACCCAAGGTGAATCCCTCCATCCCATCAGGATCCCCCTAGCCTCCACCCCAACTCACACCCAGGACTATTTTTTGGCCCTGCTGTGTGACTTGCAGGATTTTAGTTCCCCAACTGGGAATTGAACCTGTGCCCCTTGCAATGGAAGTATGGAGCCCTAACCACTGAACCATCAGGGAATTCCCACAGCTGTGACTTATTCTCCCAACACTACCTAGACATGGGCCTCCCACCTTAGTGACCCTCTGACCCGCACCTCTGAAGGACCTCCCAGCCCTACCTGTGAGTGACCTCAGTCTTCCCCTGAACGATTCCCAATCTCCTCACCCATGAGTGATCCCGTCAATTCTCCATCAGAATATGACTCTCATTCTTAACTGTGAAGGATCTCCCTTGACCCACATCCTGGAGGGCTCACCTGTCCTCAAGGGTACACACCCTTGTGAACCCCACCCGACATGGGAATACCCACCCCCAGTCCCTCCTGCGGGATTCCCAGCCCCTGCAGCCACTCGGGCCCCTGCCCCCTAAGCTCCTGCCCCGGCCTCTGCCCCAGGTTCGCGGTGGCCGACACTGTGTACCGGGCACTGCGCACTGAGCGCCGGGACCAGGCGGTGATGATCTCTGGGGAAAGCGGGGCAGGCAAGACCGAGGCCACCAAGCGGCTGCTACAGTTCTATGCCGAGACCTGCCCAGCCCCCGAGCGGGGTGGTGCTGTGCGGGACCGGCTACTGCAGAGCAACCCGGTGCTGGAGGTGAGGGGACAGCAGCCCCTGGGGCTGGGAGGGGCACTGAGAGGCCACCAGGCACCCCTCACACCCTGGCGCTTTCCTAGGCCTTTGGCAATGCGAAGACCCTCCGGAATGACAACTCCAGCAGGTTTGGGAAGTATATGGACGTGCAGTTTGACTTCAAGGTACCCATGGGCGGGGCAGGGCAGGGGGAACGGGATTCCCACGTGGCGGGCACCCATTGGCCCAGGTCTTTGGCACCAGCAAACATTTATTGAGCACTTTCTGTGTGCCAGACACTGTTGCAGGTGCTAGTGGCACAGCAGTGAAACAGAACAGACAGAAATCCTGCCTCCAGGGAGATAAAGAATCTGCCTGCAATGCAGGAGACCCGGCTTCGATCCCTGGGTTGGGGAGATCCCCTGGAGAAGGGAATGGCAACCCACCCCAGTATTCTCGCCTGGAGAATCCCATGGACAGAGGAGCCTGGCAGGCTATAGTCCACGGGGGTCGCAAAGAGCGGACATGACTGAGTGACCAGCAGGGAGATAGTCCACAGAAAAATGTAAATTAGCTAACATATGTCACAGCAAAAAAGAAAATGAGGCAAGGGGAGGGGGCATTGGCTGTTTGAAATAATGCAGATACAGTGGGCATAGAGAAGGTGGCCTTTGGTAAAGCCTTGATGGAGACAGATGAATGAGTTGCGCATATACCCAAGAGCGTCCAGGCGGAGGGCACTGCCAGTGCAGAGGTTCTGATGAACAAGATGCTGGATGTGTTCACAGACAGCAAGGAGGCCAGAATGGCTGGAGAAGAGAGCAAGGGGCCAAGGAATGGAAGAGGACGCTTGGTGGTGTGGGTTCTTTTGGGTCTTTATAAGAACTTCTTTAAAACTCTTGGGTGGAAGTGAGGCCAGAGAATTTTTGGGGATTGTTTGTTTGTTTGTTTGTGTGGTCATGCCCGCACAGCCTGCAGGATTTTAGTTCCCCAACCAGATATTGAACCCATGTGCCGTGCAGTGGAAGTGCAGAGCTTTAGCCACTGGATCACCTGGAAAATTCCTGTATATATATATATATATATTTTTTTTTTTTTTTAATTTTTGGCCAGGCCTCACGGCATGTGGGATCTTAGTCTCCCAACAAGGTATTGAACCCGTGTCCCCTGCAGTGGAAGTACACTGACGTGTCAGGGAAGTCCCAAAAGTTTGAAAGAGAAGTGTGTTATGACCTCAGTTTCCTCTTAAAGTGGTCGCTCTGGCTGCTTTGTTGAGAATAAATGGTAGAGACTGAGGCTGAGCAAGGAAACGAGTTAGGAAGCTGATGATTATTAGATCTGGGTGACAGATGATGGTGGCTGGGCCCAGTCTGGTGACCATGGCTGGATTCTGGATATTCTGAAGGTTAGGGCAGCAGGATTGGCTATCTGATTGGACGTGAGGTGAGAGAGACAGGGAGGCTCCCAGGAGGACCACAGACTTCTTGGTCTGAACACCTAAAAGGGTGAGCAGGATGGGAAGAGGCAGCTGGTTTGAGGAGTGGAGACCAGGACTTGAGATTCAGACCTGTTGAGTTTGAGATGCTTATGGGACCTCCAGGTGTGAGCCACGAGGTAGAAAGGCCATGCATGCATGTGTGCTAAGTTGCTTCAGTCATGTCTGACTCTTTGCAACCCCGTGGACTGTAGCCCACCAGGCTCCTCTGTCCATAAAATTCTCCAGTCAATACTGGAGCAAACTGCCATGCCTTTCTCCAGGGGATCTTCCTGACCCAGGGATCAAACCCACATCTCTTGCATTGGCAGGAGGGTTCTTTACCACTTGTGCCACCTGGGAAGCCCAAGAAAGGGCTTAGCATCATTTCATAGAGGAAGAAATGCAGGCCAGGAGGGGCGACGTGTCTGAGCCACGCAGCCAGAGCTGAAATTCATACTCTGGAGGGCTGAGGGGTAAGGGGAAAATGGGCTATGACCCCAGTTCCCCTGAGCAGTCACCGCATCCTGCCCGGCCCGCAGGGTGCCCCTGTGGGTGGCCACATCCTCAGTTACCTCCTGGAGAAGTCCCGCGTGGTGCACCAGAATCACGGGGAGAGGAACTTCCACATCTTCTACCAGCTGCTGGAGGGGGGTGAGGAGGAGACGCTGCGCAGGCTGGGCCTGGAACGAAACCCCCAGAGCTACCTGTACCTGGTGAAGGTGAGTAGAGGAGGGTGGGCAGGCGGAGCCAGGTGCCACCCAGGGAGCCCATCCAGCCAGAGCTGTAACCCCGCTCTGCCCATGGCACAGGGCCAGTGCGCCAAAGTCTCCTCCATCAACGACAAGAGTGACTGGAAGGTGGTCAGGAAGGCTCTGACTGTCATTGACTTCACCGAGGACGAGGTGGAGGTGAGACCTCTGTCGGGGACCCACCCTTTCCTCCTGTCACCCCGTGAAAACCCCGCTCTACCTTTATAATCAGCTCTACTCTAGCCGCCTTCTCCTCTCACATGCCTTGCCCCCCACCGTTCCCAGCTCCTGCTGACCATCCACATGTGCCCTCCTGGGGCTCTCAGACCCTCCCATAACCCCCACCTGCCCCTCCCTGTCCCCTGACCCCCACCCAGGACCTGCTAAGCATCGTGGCCAGCGTCCTGCATCTGGGCAACACCCACTTTGCCGCCGATGAGGAGAGCAACGCCCAGGTCACCACCGAGAACCAGCTCAAGTACCTGACCAGGGTGAGGAGGCGAGCAGAAGGCAAGGGCAGGGCAGCTGGGGCGGGGGAGCTGCGCCCTCACCAGACCCACCCCCTCCCTTGGCAGCTCCTTGGTGTGGAAGGCTCAACATTGCGGGAAGCCCTGACCCACAGGAAGATCATCGCCAAGGGCGAAGAGGTGAGGCCAGAGGGTGGGGCTGGGGTGGGGGGCAGGTGTTCCAAGGCAGCCCCGACTCCCATCATCGCACATTGCCCTGGTCTGCTCAGCTGGTCCTCTCAGCACCAATGTTGGAAGCTTATAAGGCAGATGGCTCAGAGAGGCACAGGGAGCTGGCCAAGGTCACACAGGAAGAGGGTGAAGCTGGAAGGCAGACTCAACCTCCAGGAATGAGACCTCTTGTTTCTCTACCAGTTTCCCTCTGGTAGGGCCACTGTGTCTTCCCTTGCCCCCCTGCCCAGCACCAGGCTCACTGGGGGCAGGGAGGGCAGAGTGATCGGTTTCCTGAGTCAGAGGGGCCAGAGGTGGGAAGGAACTGCATTCATCTCCCTGCTCACCCTCTGCCCGCAGCTCCTGAGCCCGCTGAACCTAGAACAGGCCGCATATGCGCGGGACGCCCTCGCCAAGGCTGTCTACAGCCGCACCTTTTCCTGGCTGGTCGCGAAGATCAACAGGTCGCTGGCCTCCAAGGTGAGAGCTTGGCCCCTGCTGCTCCCGAGTTGGCAGGGAGGGCGGTCCAGGGTGGCCGGGGCTGAGAGCTGGCAATCGTGGGGACGCACACTCTTGGTCGGCTGGCCCTAGGATGCCGAGAGCCCCAGCTGGCGGAGCACCACAGTCCTCGGGCTACTGGACATTTACGGCTTTGAAGTGTTCCAGCACAACAGGTCAGCGCCCCCTGACTGCCTGTCTCTCCTGCCATCGTGTTCCCTACCCTGGTCCCTCACCTCTCCCCTGGCCTCCCTCATTCCTGCCAGTGACTTGCCAGCCGCTTTGGTCCCACTCTGTTTCTTCCCTCAGCTAGCGCTGGGGCCTTGTTCTGCCCCTCCCCATCTTTCCTCGTCTAGCCCCCCCCCCCCCATATTACTGAGGATGCCTCTGTCTCCCTCACAGCTTTGAGCAGTTCTGCATCAATTACTGCAACGAAAAGCTGCAGCAGCTCTTCATTGAGCTCACCCTCAAGTCGGAGCAGGAGGAGTACGAGGCCGAGGGCATCGCTGTAAGTGCAGGCCTGCCCGTGGCCGGCCCTAGTGCAACCAAGATCAAGGTCTGGGTGTCCCCAGGGGAGGTGCTGTGACCCCACAGTGATGCCTCCCTCCCCTTGTGCCCCTCAGTGGGAGCCAGTCCAGTATTTCAACAACAAGATTATCTGTGACCTGGTAGAGGAGAAGTTCAAGGGCATCATCTCCATTTTGGTGAGGCATCCGCTCCTCCAGGGCCTTGGGTTGGGGGCTGGGCGGGATAATGTCACCCCTTTCCCCTGGCTCTCCCAGCCTGTCCGCAGTAGGCTGAAGTCCTTGGTGCCTGCCGAGGGACAGAACAGGGCTGTGTGTGAGTGGTGAGGGGTGGCGCTGGCCAGCCCTGGGAGTGTCTGCGCCTCCCTCGGGGGCCCCTGAGTCCCGGTGCTCTCTGGTTCCTCCCCCACACGCACCCCTCACCCTCTGCCACCACCCACCCAGGACGAGGAGTGTCTGCGTCCCGGGGAGGCCACGGACCTGACCTTCCTGGAGAAGCTGGAGGACACAGTCAAACACCATCCACACTTCCTGACGTGAGTGGGACTGGGGACTGTCCTGGGCCAGAGCCTGTGGAAGCCTGGGAACCCCCTCACGCATAAAGTGCCAGCCACAAGGAGGTGACCAGGGGAGGCGCCAGCGAAGGCCAGGCACCCGAGCTGCGGCTCCTGGCGCCTCCCGAGTAAGAGCCAGGAACGCCACTTCCTCCTCAACCCGCTCGAGAATGAAACTTGCTAAGGTTTTTTTTTTAGCCTCCTTACTTGGAAATTCCTTTTTATTTAAGGAATCCCCTAAAGCGGGATGAGGGGAGAAAAGAAACAAGCCCCTCTGTCCCAGCTCCGCCTCGCATATTTTGAGCACATCACCTTCTCTAATTAGAAGCAGCCCCTGGAGGAGGTTTTACTGAGACTCACAGAGGTGCAGCCCTTTGCCGGAGATTATCTCACATCAAGTCCAGAGCCGGGCCTCAGGCCCAGTCAGGGATTGAACCTGACTCCCAGCCATGAAAGCAGAGCCCTAACCACTGTACCGCCAGGGAATTCCTGAGCAATTTTTTTTCAGGGCGAGTAAGCAAGGAACCTGTTTGTTCTCATTCCCTATGGCTGCAGCAGGGGTCCCAGTAAAGCCTTGCCTGAAAAAAAAAAGAAAGAAAAACATATTTTTTTCTGTTTCTAAAGAGAACATCCCTCCTCAGAGAAAAGTTGGAACGTGTGCAAAAGTCACTTGTAATCCTGTCACCCAGAGGTCACCACTGTTAATAATTTGAGACGTTTTCTTCCTGCCTTTTTCTATATATTATTTTTTTCTTTTTTGCGGTTGAGAGCTTATTGTATATAGGACTCAGGATAATGTTATATCCTGAGTATCTTCCTGTATCATCAAACAGAAAAGTTTCCTCAAAACACTTCCTCTGGCGGCTCTAACACACAGACACACCACTGCTCTCACCCGGCCTCTCAGGGCCCTGTCCAGCCTCTGGGTTTCTGCTGGGAAAACAGAATATCTATCTCTGGGCCTTAAATCTCTGCCTGGTCTCTCTGGTTAGTTGCTTGGAATTCTTCTTTAAAAGTAGAAAATGGGTTAAAGGGTATAAACATGCTTAAGGCCTAAGTAGTCTCTTGGGGGCTGATTCCATTCTTAAAGTGTAGCGGGCAGCACTCAGCGCTCTGAGCAGAGCCACGCAACAGCCAAAGGCAACACCAAATCGCCCTCCACCCTGCGAGCCCTGGCAGCGTGGAGGCTGAGGTCCCGGTCCTGGCGCTGTGTGACCCCGGACGAGGCCATCTACCTCTCTGAGCCTCTGTGGTGGCCTCTGTGTGGGAGGAGGCCCCGCCCTGCCGGTTTCCTACTGGATGCCTGGTTCCTCTCTTGAAGTCTCTTGGGCAGACAGGGGCATGGCTTAGGCCAGTGGTTGGCAGCTTCCTCTCCCTGTCGCCCCAGGCACAAGCTGGCTGACCAGCGGACCAGGAAATCTCTGGACCGCGGGGAGTTCCGCCTTCTGCACTATGCCGGGGAGGTGACCTACAACGTGACTGGTGAGGACCCTGGGGCTGTGTCCCCCCGGGAGGGCTGGGAGAGGGGCTCTGCCTCCCCTCACGTCTGCTCTCTCCCCTCAGGGTTTCTGGATAAAAACAACGACCTTCTCTTCCGGAACCTGAAGGAGGTGAGGAGGACCTCCAGGGGGAGGGCTGGGGGTCTGGGCTCTGAATGATCTCTGCCCCAGAAAGCTGACCGGCCTGTCCCTATGCTTCCACTGTGACCCCTGCCCTGCCCTCACAGACCATGTGCAGCTCAGAGAATCCCATTCTGAGCCAGTGCTTCGACCGGAGCGAGCTCAGCGACAAGAAGCGGCCAGAGACGGTGTGAAGGCGGTGGGACCCCAGGGGGTGTGTGTGTGCACACGTGAGCGGGCCCGGTGCCTGCTTGAGCTGGGAGTTGGCAGTGTGTGTGTGAGTTCATGTGTTTGCTGGTGCCTGGGTGCACATCTGTGTGTGTCTGGGAGGCTGCCCGTGGGTACATCTGTGCCTACTTTGATGGGTGTCTGGGTGTGTAACGTCTCTTAAGTGTGGATGCACGTATGTATACCTGTGTCTGTGTGGGCCCTTGCATGCATTCACCCCCCTGCAGCAGACACTTGTAGTGGACATTACTGGGTGCTTAGGATACAAAAATGAACACACGCTGTCCTAGAAATGTGCATGGGGTGCTATGGAAACTTACAACAGGGAGCAGCAAATTGCCTTCGGAAGTAGAAGAGGGGAGGGGAGTCGGGGAGAGCTTCCTGGAGGAGGAAGCATCTGAGATAACTTGGGAATGAGTAGATACTTGTCAGACGTATGAGCGGGCCCTGCAGAGCCCCACACAGGAACACAGTCCAAAAAACACCAGGAAGTGGACCACAAAGTGCCATTTTCAAGGAGAGCGATGGGAAGAAGGCAGATCTGGCCAGTGGTGCCAGACAGGGGAATGCTCCATGCAGTGAGCTGTACACAGAGGTGTGGCTGCCAGGCTTGGCAGGGGGAGGGTCAGGGCAGCCAGGACGAGCAAGTTCAGGGAGAGGTGGAAGCTAGGGAGCTGCAGGCCAAGACATGCTGGCAGGGAGGCCGTGGAGGCAGAGTGTTGCCCAGAGTCTGACTCCCTGGGACCCTGTCCTGGGTTCCCCGACCCCACCCCTTCCCTGATTGTTCTCAGCCCCACCCTTGTGAGGACACACCCACTCCTGTCCAGGCCTCTCCAGCAAACCAGAGTTCCATTGACCTCCTCCCAGGGACCTGCAGCTACTCCAGACCCCACTAGTCTATGATGCACCCTGACTGTCCATGTCCCAGGCATGCATCTCCTGTTTCCCTAACTCAGGGCAGGGACCACCCTCCACCCAGGCCTGAAGGACAGAAGCCTGGGCCGCATCCCTGATTCCTTAGCCTCCCCCATTGCCCTCATTCTAACAGCTGCTGGATACTGCCTGTTTTTGCTGCCTGAAAACCCCTTCCTTTCAGCCCCTCCCTGTAACCCTTACTCCAGTTCTAGTCCTCTGAGCCAGTCAGCCTCCTCCCTGGGCTTCTGTCTTCCCACCTGTTCTTACCAACCACCCTCCACCTATGTGCTGTAGGGATACTCCAAAAGGCAGATCTGTTCCTGTTCCTCTCTCCCTCCAGATTCCTCTTTGGCTCCCTATTTCCCTCAGGGTAAAGTTCAGGCTCCCTAATGTGGTTCCTGAGTCCTACCGTGCTCCTGCCTCTCTAATGCTCTTTTTCACTCCCCTCCTAGATCCTTGCATGGCTTGTAGTTCGCTGTGCACATCGAGCCTTTGCTCGCTCTGTTGCTCTGCCCGCATGCCGTTCCTGCCTCTCTTCCTTCTGGGTGTCTCCAACTTGTCCTTTCATTCTCAGCTGAAGGGTTATTTTCCGAAGACCCTTCCTGCCACCCCCTACCCCACAGACAGATAACTTGTAACATTTCACTTGGAAATGCTGCCCCATCTTCATCAGCTTCAGAAATCTGACCTTTGCGGATGCTGGGATAAAGAGTTATAATTTAAAAAAAAAAAAAAAAAAGGTCCACGAAGGGCAGGGGCAGTTGTGGGAACTGGGGGTGTTTTGCCCCAGGGAGGGGTGTCTGCGGGGTTCTGCGCAGGGAGGGGCATTTGCAGGGGTCAGTGGCCTCAGCCCAGTTGCCACCAACCTTCCTGTTGTTCATCTTGGCTGACCAGGTGGCCACCCAATTCAAGATGAGCCTCCTGGAGCTGGTGGAGATCTTGAAATCAAAGGAGCCTGCCTACATCCGCTGCATCAAGCCCAATGACTCCAAGCAGCCCGGTAGGCCCTCCGCCCCGTAGGCCGGTTGGGGGCTGGGCCTCCCCCGCAGAGGCCGGCCAAAGCCCGCTGACCACCCGGTGATCTCTTCCCCCAGGCCGCTTTGATGAGGTGCTGATCAGGCACCAGGTGAAGTACCTGGGGCTGATGGAGAACCTGCGCGTGCGCAGAGCCGGCTTTGCCTACCGCCGCAAATACGAGGCTTTCCTGCAGAGGTGGGGGCGGGGCCTGGCGCAGCGCCAGGGGGAAGCGGGTGGGCGGGTCGGAGCCTCCGCGATCTCGGGCGGGAGGACAGCCCTCAGCTGCGGTGGGAGCCACGCTGCGGGGCCTTCCATGCTGCAGGCCTAATGTTAAGCTTGAGAGAGCAAAGGCCAGCCCTCCCCACGCCCAGGCCCTGCCGTCACAGAGCAGCTGGTCAGGGGTCCAATGAGGCACGCATTCACATACCTATCACCAGTGGAGACAGTAAAAGCCTGTGAAGGGGACAGAGTTTGCAGTCAGCTCAGAAAGCAACTTCGTGGTTATCCCGAGTCAGGGGTCTGAGGAGTCACCAGGCATGTCTTTCTAGGCCCCGTGACCTTAGGCAGATGTTCAGTTCAGTCACTCACTACGACTCTTTGCGACCCCATGGACTGGAGCACGCCAGCCTCCCCCGTCCATCACCAACTCCTGGAGCTTACTCAAACTCATTCCATCGATTCACTGATGCCATCCAACCATCTCATCCTCTGTTGGCCCCTTCTCCTCCTGCCTTCAATCTTTTCCCAGCATTAGGGTCTTTTCCAGTGAGTCAGTTCTTCACATCAGGTGGCCAAAGGATTGGAGTTTCAGCTTCAGCATCAGTCCTTCCAGTGAATGTTCAGGACTTATTTCCTTTAGGATTGACTGGTTGGATCTCAGATTAGAAACCTCAATTTTCTCATCTTTAAAGTAGGGGTAGTAACAGAGCTACCTCCCAGACTTTCTGTGACCTGAGAGTCAGTGGGACCAGGAAAGCTGGTCTGGGCTCCCAGAGCACTGGTGGGGGGTGGGGGCGCTGGGTACATTTCTGCTCCTGTCACCAGGTACAAGTCACTGTGCCCAGAGACATGGCCCACGTGGACAGGACGGCCCCAGGATGGGGTGACTGTGCTGGTCAGGCACCTGGGCTACAAGCCAGAAGAGTACAAGATGGGCAGGTGAGTGGCGCCCATGCCCGGGGATTGAGGGGTACGGGGTGGCAACCAGGGGCTGATCACTGCTGCCCTCCCAGGACCAAGATCTTCATCCGCTTCCCCAAGACCCTGTTTGCCACAGAGGACGCCTTGGAGATCCGACGACAGAGCCTGGGTGAGAGAAGGGCCCCACCCATCCTGGCCAGTGGGGTCCATTCTGGGAAACGGGAAAGAACTCGCTGTATTCAGGCTTCTTCTCCGGGACGTCTGCCACATCCACATTGGGCTGCCCGCCTCGTCTGCTCCCGGATACACACTCAGCATGTTCCCATGTTGCTTTGCTCTCTCCCTTGCTCTTTCTTTTTTTTATTTTGGCTGTTCTGGGTCTTTGTTGCAATGCGCAGGCTTCTCTGGTGGCAGAGCTCAAGCTTAGTTGCCCCACGGTCTGTGGGATCTTCGTTGCCCAACCAAGGATCGAACCCGCGTTCCTTGCATTGCAATGCGAAGTCGTAACCACTAGACCAGCCCTCGCCCTTTCCTACTCTTCTTCACTTATTTATCCTCCACTTGAAGCTGGTTCAGCCACTCCCCTTACTCATTGAGCTCTTAGCAGGGCCAGGCCCCCAGCTGGGTCCCCTGTGCTCTGGCCAAGTGACTTTCTTTCCCAACCACAGCCACGAAGATCCAGGCCGCCTGGAGGGGCTTTCACTGCCGGCAGAAATTCCTGCGGGTGAAGCGATCAGGTTCGGTCGCCCAGAGGCCTTCAGGACGGTGGGGACTGGGGCTAGGGTGGGCCACCAATGGGAAGAGATAGAAGTCAGCCATCTGTGGTCTCTGCAGCCATCTGCATCCAGTCGTGGTGGCGAGGAACGCTGGGCCGAAGGAAGGCGGCCAAGAGGAAGTGGGCGGCACAGACCATCCGGCGGTGAGCACTGGGCGCCACGCAGGGGGTGCAGAGCAGAGTGTGGGGGCAGGTCCGCTACCAGGGTTCTCACCTCCACCCATGTCGGACCCCCACCCCCAGGCTCATCCAGGGCTTCATCCTGCGCCACGCGCCCCGTTGCCCCGAGAATGCCTTCTTCGTGGACCACGTGCGCACCTCTTTTCTGCTCAACCTGCGACGGCAGTTGCCCCGGAATATCCTGGACACTTCTTGGCCCACACCCCCACCTGCCCTGCGTGAGGTCCGTGGGCTCTCCCTGCTGACTGGGGGACCACCAACTCACCCAGCGGAGGGACCTAATAACCATGTGACCTGAGGAGCCATGGGAAGGGAAGGGACCTGGAGCTGGGCCGCGGAGAGCGAGTTCTCTGCAGAGAAACAATTCGGGAATGGAAGGGTGGTCCAGGTTGAGGGGGTGTCACTTAGGCCAAGGTCCCATGGTGGGCACATGCCTGTTGTCTGCAGAGGGAAGGGAGCCAGGCTGCCTGGGTGCCCTGACCTCCCTCTTGCCCACAGGCCTCAGAGCTGCTGCGGGAGCTGTGCCGGAAGAACATGGTGTGGAAATACTGCCGGAGCATCAGCCCCGAATGGAAGCAGCAGGTATGGGGCAGGTACCAGGGGACTGGGTGGGGGTGGTGCGGTGCTGGAAGAGAGCTGGCCTGGAGGACCTTTGCCCCGACTTACCGTGCAACCTTGAATTGATCCAGGCCCCTGTCTGGCCTCATGTATGAGGCAGAGACTGGAATAGATTTTGCAAGGCAAATAGAGTTTATCTTCTAGAGCAGCTGCACTGGTCGAGGCTGCCCAGAGTCCTGTGTTGAAAAGGCTGCAGCATTGGTCTGTTAGAATAATTCCAGAGAGAGACACTGGTGACCAATGGGCCTTGTATTTGCCAACTTGGTGTCAGATGATAATGAAGGACCCATCCAGCAGAGTTAACCTGCAGTAGTTTTTTTTTTTTTTTTTGCATAATTTTATTTATTTTTGGCTATGCTGGGTCATCATTGCTGTGCTCAGGATTTTCTCTAATTGTAATGAGTTGGGGCTGCTCTCCAGCTACGGTACCCAGGCTTCTTGTTGCGGTGGCTTCTCTTGTTGCGGAGCACAGGCTCTAGGGCTTCAGTAGTTGTGGTTCCTGGCCTCTAGAGCACAGACTCAATAGTTGTGGCACACCACAGGCTTAGTTGCTCCAAGGCATGTAGGATCTTCTTGGATCAGGGATTAAAGTGGTGTTCCCTGCATTGCAAGGCAGATTCTTAATCACAGGACCACCAGGGAAGCCCCACAGTAGTTCTGAGTATTAGTATCAGCCAGCTTTAAGATCTCAGGCCAGAGCTGAATCTCAGGGACTCCAGGACCTGTGATGATGGGAATAACCCCCGAAGTGGGGCCTGGACCCTGACAGCACTATCATGACCCTTCTGGAGAGGCCTCTGCCTCAGTTGGTAGGGATCGGGAGAGAAGGGGCTGAAGGGGAGTGTTGGTAGCAGGGCTTAGCCTCCTGCTGTTGGGGCCAGAGAGTGGGTGAGGGAGGCGGTCTCAGCTCCTGTCTCAGCAGGCTCCTGCTCTGCTCTGACAGCCCCACCTCTCTGACATCCCCCACCTCCCTGCTATTGTCTCCTCAGCTGCAGCAAAAGGCTGTGGCGAGTGAGATCTTCAAGGGCAAGAAGGACAATTACCCCCAGAGTGTCCCCAGACTCTTCATCAGCACTCGGCTTGGTAAGCCCCCGCCCCTCCAGTGCACAAACCTTCCATCAGCAGCCTGGTCCCCTCTCTCCTCCGCTCACTCCCCGTTTACTCTCCTATCTGGGCTGCAGGTGCAGATGAGATCAACCCCAGAGTGCTGCAGGCCCTGGGCTCGGAGCCCATCCAGGTGAGACCCTGCTGGCGGCCCTCAGCCCCACACAGTTCTGCTGCCCGAGGGCTGCGTGGGCGGGGGTCAGGGCCTGGGCAGGGGGTGAGGAGGCCCCTCACCCACCCTCTGTCCCCAGTACGCGGTGCCCGTCGTGAAGTACGACCGAAAGGGCTACAAGCCGCGCTCCCGGCAGCTGCTGCTGACGCCCAACGCCGTGGTCATCGTGGAGGACGCTAAGGTCAAGCAGAGGATCGAGTACACCAACCTGACTGGTGAGCCTGAGTCCAGGTTGGGTCCAGAGAGGGGGCCCTACTCTGCTCCTTGATCCCTGACCTCTGCCCTTTCCTCCCCCAGGAATCTCCGTCAGCAGCCTGAGCGACAGCCTCTTCGTGCTCCACGTGCAGCGTCAGGACAATAAGCAGAAGGTGCCCCTCAGGGACTGGGCGGTGGGGAGGGCATCGGCCCTCTAAGTGCTGGGCAGGGCCTGACCCCGTCCCTCTGTGGGCCCCCAGGGGGACGTGGTGCTGCAGAGTGACCACGTGATTGAGACCCTGACCAAGACGGCCCTCAGCGCTGACCGAGTGAACAACATCAACATCAACCAGGGCAGGTGAGGCGGGGAGGGCTGCTGAGCGGGCCGAGCGTGCACAGCGGGCAGGCCTCACGCGCCCGCTTCTCTCCAGCATCACATTCGCAGGCGGGCCCGGCAGGGATGGCATCATTGACTTCACACCCGGCTCGGAGCTGCTCATCACCAAGGCCAAGAACGGGCACCTGGCTGTGGTGAGTGTGGGGCCGGGGCAGAGCCTCTGGGGGCCAGGCCGTCCTCCCTCAGCCGTCTTGGACAGAGCCTGGGCACCTCACTGTGGGTCTCGATCCAGAGGGCACCCTTTATCCCATTGCCCACTGAGCACCAGAGACCAGTGCAGAGGGTCATAAAGAGGGCAGCATGGGGGGCGGGGGAGACCGAGGAGGCAGGGGTATGCTGCTTGGGAAGGGAGGCCCGCTCTTGTCGGGGCAGAGAGCCCTGTGGGAGTAGGGTCTAAGGTCCGAGTCTCCAGCACCGAGGCCTCCAGACTTCCCCCTCCCCTCCCTCCATATACTACCAGGTATCTAACTCACCAAGACAAGGGCCTGGACCACCTCTGCTTCCTGCTCACCACTGGGCTTCTCCCCTGGTCCCCACAGGTGGCCCCACGGCTGAACTCGCGGTGATGAAGGCGCCCACTGGACCCCTCCCACCTCCCAGTGCTTCGCTCATCCCCTCCTCCCTTCCCAGCTACCAAAGACTCGAGCTTCCAGACAGGGACCCAGGGACACCTCGAAGCCCACCGACAAATTCCCGCCTCCAGCTCGGCTCTCTCTCTCGAGGGGGGGCAGCAGGGGCGCAGGAAGCTGCCCCAGGAGTGGGCCAGGCCGGGCCACAGCAATAGGAAAAGCCGGGGCCAGAGGCAGCCACGCCAGCCCCACTGCCAATGCCAAATATTTGAGAGAAGGGAACTTTTGCTGAGGTTTTTCTCTGAGATTTTTTGATGCTTTATAGGAAACTATTTTTTAAAAAAGCCATCTTCCCACCCGCACCCTCCCCACCACCCGCCGCCCCACCACCACCAAGACACACTGGATGTGTTTGCCCTGACTCGGCAGGGCAGGGAATGCGCCGAGAGGGCGGGCGATCTGGGCCCTGGTGCCCTCTTCCCTGCCCAGGCCCCCTCTCCTCCCTGTTCCCTTGGCACCTTGTCTGTCTGTCTGCCTGTCCACCTGTAGCCCACTCCAACATCCCCCTGGGGGCTAAAACCACCCTTGCCTGCCTCTCCGTCCAGCCTTAAAAATGCCCTTCTAATATCAGCCCAGCCTGAGGACATCCTGGAGTAAAGGCGGGACTGTCAGAGCGGAGGATTTGGACAAGTGAGAGATCACCTGGTCGAGTCTTCTGGTGTGACGGAGCAAGAGAGAGGCACGAGAAGGGAAGGGACTTGCCCAAGGTGATCCAGCAGGTTGGGGCAGAACCAGACTGTCCTCAGCACACACCTCACTGCCTCTCCCCGGGACTGGGGGCCCCGTGAAACAGGCTCATGTCTTAAGGGTGCATGTGGCTTCCTGACCAGCAATCAGCCTTGGGGGCCACCAGCTGGGAGGAGCGCTCCCACCTGAGTCCATGCCTTAGGATGACAAACACCTTACCCATGTACTCTGGCCCCAGGTTACAGACGCAGGGCCTTCACTGGCTCCTGACCCCGCGCCCTATCCTGGGGGCCTGGGGAAGGGGCTGGCCTTGGGAGGAGCTGCAGGGGCATCACCTCTTTCTGCTGCTTCTCCCCTACCCCCACCCCCAACTCCCCAGAGGGCCTGGGGGCTGCCCAGCTGCCTCTGCCCTCCTGCGGGTCTCAGCCCACTGCTGACACTTCTGCAATCCAGAGAAACACTAAATAAAGCAATATGTGTTTGCCAACATCAGTCTCCTTGTGAATGTTAGTAAAGGGAAAGACTTCCCTGGTGGTCCAGAGGTACGGACTTCCCTTCCACTGCAGGGGGCATGGGTTCAAGTCCTAGGCAGGGAGCTAAGATCCCACAGGCCACTTGGTGTGGCCAAAAAAAAATAAAGAGAAGGGAGAAGACCCCCTAGAAGGCAACCAGGGGTCTTGTATTACTCTTTTTTTTCCCCAGACTTTTTATTTTGTACTGGAGAATAACCAGTTAACGATGTTGTGGTAGTTTCAGGTGAATAGCAGAGGGTCTCAGCCATATATATATATACATGTGTCCATGCTCCCCCAAACCTTCCTCCCATCCAGGCTGCCACGTAACAGCAGAGTTCCAGAGTCCTATACTCTGAGTAGGTCCTTGGTTATCCATTTTTTAAATTTGTTTTTGTTTTTCTTATTTTTTCTGGGTTATCCATTTTGAATAGAGCAGTGTGTACATAACCTTTCTAAAGCCCCTAACTATCCTTTCAGGGGTCTTGTATTATTATAATTTTTGCCTTGTCCCCAGAACGAGGCTGGGCTCCCTCCCTGGGGAAAAGGGCAGGAGTGGTCAGCAGCTGCAAGGTGGCCTTGCTCTTTCACTGACCATCCACAGAAGGGCCACTCAACCTGGTCCTTCCAGGGGGCAGGGGAGGGGGAAGCATCACACAGTGCCTGCCATGTGGCCCTTAGCCCAGCAGGCAGGGCTGGCAGATGGAAACGGCCCAGTTGGGAAGTACAGGCATCAGGGGCACACTGGTGAGAAGCTGACTCAGGTGGGGGTGAGGGTTGCAAACACTTCACAGAGAAGATGACATTTGAGGTCATCCATCTCAAAGGACAGTCTGTGAACTCCCCTGCAAATGACAAACCAAATGCAAAGTGGCTTGAGCAGAAAAGGACATCTATTAGCGTTAGAGCAACCTAACAGTTCCAGGGTAGGTCGGCTTCCAGGCGCTCACTCGGGAACGTGTCTGGCGGCTTCATTCTCAGGCCCACTCTCCCCTTGGGTGTGGTGGCAGCAGCAGCCGTTCTCAGGCCCACTCTCCCCTTGGGTGTGGTGGCAGCAGCAGCCGTTCTCAGGCCCACTGTCCCCTTGGGTGTGGTGGCAGCAGCAGCCGTAGGCAGCCCCAGGCTTTGGTGATTCAGCCTCGGAAGCAGAAAGTATCTCTTAGTGATTTGAAAGTCTCAGAGGGGCTTTCCACGTGGCTCAGTGGTAAAGAATCCGCATGCCAATGCCGGAGACACTGGTTCAGTCCCCGATCTAGAAGGATCCGACATGCTGCAAAGCAACTCAGCCCAGGAGCCACAACTACTGAGCCCACATGCTACAACAATAGAGAAGTCTGTGCAGCAACGAAGACCCAGCACAGCCAGAAATAAAAAGGAAAGTCTTAGAGCTGATTCTCAGTGCACCAGCTTGAATGAGGTGCTCTCCCCTGCCCCAACAGGTGTTAAGGAGCAGAGCTCATTCTGATATATGCCTACTGGCCCTGGGTCACGTGCCTGCTACCTCTCAAGACAGAAGCACGAACCACACCTGACCTCAGGGATAGAGACTAGGGAGAGATGATTTCCCTGAAAATCAGAATGCTGCCTCCAGAAGAAAGGGAGTAAGTGTTAAAAGCTGCAATTACAGAGCTCCTCTGCAGGCTGTTTTCCCCAAAGGGAGGAGCCTTGTAGTTAGGAGGAATAGCACCTGCAGGGTTTAAAGGTCATGAAAGGTTTAATTAGGAGTCAGACTACCTACCAAGGGGTTTAGATTCACCACCTGGGACAGAAGTCCCCAAAGAACAAGATATCACATAACATATGACTATTTTGCACATCATGCGAAATGCTGGGCTAGATGAAGCACAAGCTGGAATCAAGATTGCCAGGAGAAATATCAATAACCTCAGATACGCAGATGATACCACCCTTAAGGCAGAAAGTGAAGAAGAACTAAAGAGCCTCTTGATGAAAGTGAAAGAGGACAGTGAAAAATCTGGCTTAAAACTCAACATTAAAAAAACGAAGATCAGGGTTATAGTGAGTGTGGACGTGTCTTGTGTTGCTGTCTAGATGTGTCAGTAGGAGAGTGGATAGATGTACATGGCAGAAGGATGTTATCATTAGGTCAGATGCACTTGGACACCCTGTTACTGGAGAAGCAAGGAAATTATATTGCATCCTATGGCTCAGAGAAAGATGACTATGAATATTGCATGTCTGAGTATTTGAGAATGAGAGGAATCTATGGGGGTTTGACCGTAATGGATCTCCTTGGACAACTACATTGCATGAATAGAGAAGAAATTCCGACATTTATTAAGTCTTGTCAACACAAGCATGGTGGAATAAGTGCTAATATTGGACATGATCCTCATCTTTTGTATACTCTTAGTGCTGTTCAGATACTTACTATGATAATATCAATGTTACTGACACAAATAAAGTTGTGGAATATGTTCAGTGTCTATGGAAAGAAGATGGTTTATCTGCTGGAGATACTTGGTAAAAAAAACTGATAAAGATTCTCTTTTTGTGCGATGGTAACTTTGGCTCTATTGGGGGAGTTGGATGCTACTAATGTGGAAAAGGCAATTGAATTTGTTTTATCATGTATGAACTTTGATGGTGGATTTGGTTGCAGGCCAGGCTCTGAATCCCATGCTGGGCAGGATTCTTGTCTATTACTAGTCAGTTGCACCAAGTAAATTCTGATTTACTCCGTTGGTGGTTTTGTGAACAACAGCTTCCATCAGGTGACTCAATGGAAGGCCAGAGAAGTAACCAGATGTATGCTATTCTTGGTGGGTTTGGCTTTCCTAAAGATAATTGAAAGGCTTCATTGGATTGATAGAGAAAAACTCTGCGGTTTCATCCTTGCATGTCAAGATGAGGAAACAGGAGGATTTGCAGATAGGCCAGGAGATATGGTAGATCCTTTTCATACTCTGTTTGGAATTACTGGATTGTCACTTTTGGGAGAAGAACAGATTAAACCTGTTAGCTCTGTTTTTTGCATGCCTGAAGTACTTTGGAGAGTGAATTTTCAGCCTGAACTAGTGAACTAGGTTAGATCACTGGATGGAGAAGTTGGTTAATATAGTTTTTGGTATGTTTTAACCTTTCAGTAGTTGAAGTGCTTAACAAACTTAATGACTACCATGTTAATATTGTGTACAGGAATTGTGTTAATTTTAATAAATTATATAATTATACATATTGTAAATTGAGATCTTTATTGTGTCTTTCCTTCTGGAATGCATTACTCTGATTTTTCTTGTTGTTGTTTATGCTTCAGTGTATTTGTTTTCTTGTATGTCTTCATAAGAGCAAACTTGAACTCTGTTTAGCTGATGAAGTCTCGTGTTCTGATTTTCCCGTGTACTCCCTTGATATGTTGTATATAACTATAGTTAACGTAAATTGGTCTTTGTCAGTTAGAACATTACTGATAAAGAGTTGATGAACCCCATAAGAATTAAAAGATGAAACAAAAATAAATGGCTGATAGTTGGGAATTAAAAAAAAAAACAAACTAAGATCATGGCATCCTGTCCCATCACTCCATGGCAAATAGATGGAGAAACAATGGAAACAGTGAGAGACTTTATTTTTGGGAGCTCCAAAATCACTGCAGATGGTGACTTTAGCCATGAAGTCAAAAGACGCTTGCTCCTTGGAAGAAAAGCTATGACCAACTTAGACAGCATATTAAAAAGCAGAGACATTACTTTGCCAACAAAGGTCCATGTAGCCAAA